TCTGCCCCCGTTTTGGAATCTGTTCTGGGACACGAAAGAGGGACTGGTCCTTGAATTGCAGTGCAGGGAAGGATTCTGCCTTTGGCTGCAGCTCAGGCTGCAGTGCAGGGCCTGCTTACATACCTGGGAGTAAGTCCCACTAAACTCAAGCACACGTCTGGGTAGAAATGTCTAGGACTCTGCTGTTCTAGAAGATTGCAGAAGGGGGCTGCGTTGGTCACGAGGGGAGAGAATTCAGAGGGCTCCCGCAATGTGTGCATTGGTCCATGCTGACCCCCTCCCTATTTTTCAGACCTTTTTGTTAGTACGAAGAATGAAGCAGTCAAAATACTCACAGTGGCTTAGGCAGGGAGGAGATAACCAGCAATGCCTGCGGGTGCATGCTTGCCTCTCTGAGGTAATTCTCCTCCGAGATTTCTGGATTTCTCAGGTTGCCAGTCCAGGCCTCTGTCACTGGCTCTCCGAATAGGGAAAATAGGCTTGTTCTTCCCTTTGTTTTCACCCGACAGCTGTCAAAAGGTAAGCTGCCAGGTGAAAGCAAAGCTGCAAACTCTCTTAGCTTGCAGAAAGGGTGTGTGTTCCACACTTCAGCCTGATTTTATGGACTTGCTTACAGGATTAATGTGTTGCTGTCTATGCCAGAAAGGTGATTTTGGAACAGTGAACAAGAAAAGATAATGCATGTAAAAGGATAAAATATGTAAGAAAGAGGAAACAAGCTCTCTGGCATGGCGGGGGGGGGGGGGAGATTTGGGAGGGGTGCGAGAAGCCCAACCTTTTAAAAGTTGCCTTGAGGTCACAGTACTGTGGCAACTACATCAAAGCCAGCCCAGAAAGAACTACTTATGGAAGTGGTCAAGCAGCGATTAAGCCGAAATCATTCCTTCTGCAGAAGAATTACATTAAAAGCTTCTTTTTCCCCCCTCAAGAAAGAACACTTCTTTGACACTGCTTAGTAGAGCGATTAGCAGGAAATATTTTTAAAATTATAATTCTAAAAAGCTGTCAGGGATAGCCTTGGATGGCCCTAGCTCCTTTGGAGCCAGGAATAGAATTGAGGTGGTTACGCCAGAGGGCACACGTGATGCTGCAGGTCTCGTCCGTATTTTTCATGGCTCCTGTTTGCTCAGAAGCCCCCGTGGATCCTTTGTCCAGCCCTTGGAGGCCTCGTGGATTCTCTGGGGGAAGCCCTGCTTTTAAGGGTTGGCGTTCCCACTTGCATCGCAATGGCAGACAGTCCTTCTGCCTGCCCACCTGGCTAGTGGCTAGTTCTGGGCGGCCTTTGGCACAAACCGTCCGCTGCAAACAAGCTATCTGCCAGAAATAATGGGACATTAGCCTGTACTGATGGAGTGGCTGCCTCATTTAAAGAAATCTGAATCTCAAATAAGCTCTGTTTTAGTCTAACGATTGGCTGCACATTGCTATGCACATCTCAGAAGTTAATCCAGTGGTAGTTATTCCCAATGAAGTATGCATAGGATTGTGGCCTTTATTAATTTTAGGCTTTCCATGTGTCCTGTGCATATTCCTCAAAGCAGCCAGCAAGCCAAGAGGCCAGCGATGCTAAGGTGGTCAGTCCCGGTTGCATTGTTTTGGGTGTCTCCTCCCAGCTCTTCTAGGTTTTTTACCTACTTCCACAAACCTTGGAATTCTCCAAAACACGCCAGTGCTTCTGACTTGTGTCTTTAGATGGGCTGTGCTGCAAAATCGATATGCCTATATCAGCGTGGAAAGGAAGAAAGCAAGCCACCAGGGAAACAATTTTAAGAGCCTTCCTGCAATCAAGTGATGTTTAGAGTGTTGGACTAGGACCAGGGAGACCCGGATGCAAGGTTCCACCCAGCCAGAAAGCCTACCTCACAGGCTGCTGTGCAGGAGAGGACCATGCTTGGTTTGAGTCCTGTGGAGGAAAGACCAGATATAAGTGCAATAGATAAATAAGAGCAGGATAGGCTAGAACATCAGACAGTGGCCAGTTTTGCATTCTGTGTTGTCAGTATTAAATGGTGCTTTTACCTTTGTATGCGTTTAGAGAGTGGCTAACTTTCCCGAAAGACACATGCAGCTTCCATGTAGCCTGAAGTGTCTGATCCTGCCTAATCTTGGAAGCTAAGCAGGGTCAGGCCTGGGCAGAAATGGGATGGGTGACTTGAGTCTATGATTCTATGATTATTGCTGTCAACTGCCTAGAGAGCTTTGGCTATGGGCAGTATAAAAATGTAATAATAATAATAATAATAATACTTCTTGCTCCAAGGAGCTTGTAGTCTGAGCCATAGCATAGCAAGCTGAGCATCACGCAATAGGAAACTCTGCCCTAGATGTCCAGGGACGAGCACGGCGGTATCCAGACAGTTCTCCCTAGAACTAGATCCATGACTGCGGTACCACAAGCCTCCATTGGGCTTCTCCGTAGAACGTCTTCTGCAGGTCTCAACAGGGAAGGTTCATTCTGAAGGCCATGTTCTCAGCTGGGCAACTCATCCCGGTGCACCAGCTCTGGCGATATAGCCTCCAAAGTTCGTGGCAGCGGTCAAACCCCAGCCACCTTCGTGCAACTCAGCCGTTGCATCCCAGCGCATGAGCTGCCGAGGGCTTTCTGCGTGTATTAGTCAAACAAAATGCTTGCTTTGTGTAAATGCACTTTCCTTTCACGGCATCAAAGATGCTGTCGTGCCTGGTTCTGCTTGCATGCGGCCACATCGTTATCTGTGACTTGCAAGTTCGTTTCATGAGCAGGGCAAGCAGTCCTGGGTGGGTGAACTGTGTGAAAACACGTTGGGTGATGGTCTTCGCGAGTGACACCCCTCCCGTAAACACTTACAAGGCTGGAGATATGGAAGATTGAAATCGAGCAAGGCAATTTTTCGGAGCTCCGCAAACAGATCAGGCGCGATGAGGAAGAGCTGGACCAGCGACGCCAGGAGCAAGCGGAAGAGCGACTCCAGAAGCAGGAGGACAGGAAGCGCCTTCTGAGTCGGAGGTGGCTGACCACAGAGCAGTGAGTTGCATGTTGACATGCTTATTAAGCATGCTTCCGAATTTCTCCCCTGCCAAATCTTCCTCCTGGATGTCTGAGTTCTAAATGTCTTGCTTTGTTTGCGGAATGAAAGCACCTTGGTTTAGGAATCCTCCCTTTCTGTATCTTGGTCTCTACATATTTCTACAGCATATATTACTTATAGCTCTAGAAATAGTAGAAACAGTAATAGTTGGTCCATTAAAAAGAAACTCTTCTGTATCTATCCACTTTAGTTCCAAGCACATTCACTGTGATGAATCACCACCAAAACAGAATAGATTATGAGCACATGCTTTCATTAAAAATATGTTGCGCATACTATTGGACCGATAGTACAGAAGCACACGTGAACATCATCAGACATGGCACTGCTTTTTTGGCGGTGTTTCAGCATGAAACTTTTGCTGGATAAAGCAGCAGAGAGCCAGAAAGAGAAGGCAAGTTGTAATTTCGCTGCAAGCTGCAGGTGTTCTAATTCCAGAATAAATTTTAGAAGTTCTCCTAATCAAACCCAGCGAGGAGTTTGAGATTTGGCAGGTGGGGCAGGGATGCGATGATGGGAAGCCAGTGCTCCCTACTGGGGCTGGTGCATGAACTGGCATTGGATCGGTTCTCCAAGAGCACCCAATTCCCAGGACCGGGCTGGTGTTTTACAACTTGGGTACCGACCGTTCCTTCCTTTGGCCAGCGTTTTAGCGGTGCAAAGAGTCCGTGTCTTCTGTCTGTGTATCCATGCCCAAGCAGAGCCTGATGGCTTCGGAAGGAGCGATGCTTGGTGATCCCGAACTGTATCCCCCGCCTTCACTGCTGAGGAATCGCTCCAACAGCCAACCTCTGTTCAGTAGTCTAGGTAAAAGGAGGAAGCTAGGCAGAGAGAGCTAAAAATCCAGGAGCAATACAGCAACATGTGAATCCTCAAACAGCCCTGTTAGCCCTGGTCCTGTTTGGGGAGGGGAGGTGTTCTCAAAATGTTCTCGGTTGGCTTGCTTCCTCCTCCTCACCTCTGTTTCTTAATTACTCGCCTCTCCCTCAGGGCCCAGTCAGCAGCGTCTCTTGGAGAGTAGCGGGGCAATGGGTTTTGGTCGCTCATGCCCTTGGAGAGAGGGATAGGTGAGCAGGCGGCAGCTGGAAGGAGAAAGTGGCAGTGCTGGGGGCTCTAGCAACCCCCCCCCCCCAACTAGGGGGCAGCCCTTGACAGATGCCCGATGCTGCTTCACTCCAGTAACAAATCTATTTGGCTTCTCTGCAGAAAAATAAAGCAAGGCAGCAAGGCGTATGAAGACAGTCTTCCCCAAGCCTTGGAAGATGCTCACCAGAACCACCGGAAGGCAGTCCAGTTTCTGAAGAATAGTTTAAGAAGGTTTGTCATTGGTACTTCTTAAGAACTGTACCTGCACTGGATGGGAAGCTCCGTTCTTGCCTCTGGCAACAGCCACCTCCTAGAGCAGAGGTGGCGGACCTTTGGTGTGTGTGCTGCAGCGGGCACACAGAGCCCTCTCTGGCGGCACACGAGCCAAGCCGCCCCAGCAGCCAAGCGTCAGATAACAGTGCACATAGGGGCCATGCGCATGCTCGGACAGGAGTAGTGGCGCCAGGCGATGATGTCACGAGCCGCAACTTGTCCAAGCTTTTGCATGGCCCGTCAGTGTGCTGCCAAGGAGATGTATATATAGCTTGGACTGGCTGTTTTCAGGTTTTACTGCAGTGTTGGCCCTTTGCGATCAATAAGTGGGTTTTGGGTTGCAGGTCAGATACGCGGTCTCTAAAAGGTTCGCCATCACTGCCCTAGAGGCTTAGCCTGTCTTTCCAAGCTGGATGGAAAGAGCAAGTAAAGGGAGAATGCCAAGTCTCGATCTGGTCTAGGTGTCTTATGTGTGGCATAGCAGAGAGCATCTTCCAATGTTGACGGGTGTGCAAACTTGACTGGCTGTGGTTTTCTGACAGAGTCCGTGAGAAGGAAGCCAGTGAGGAGCTGAAACTCCAGGAATACATGCAAAGGAGAATGGACACCGTGTTGTCGCTGAAGAACAACATCACTGCTAAACGGGTATTTGCCTCATTTTGATGCTCTTGGCCCAGCAATTTCAGAAGCGTAAAGAAGTGAAGGATGGCAAGCTGTTGCCATTCTGGGCAGATCCTGAGCATGTGCCGACCCGGCAGATTGGGTTTATTTATTTATTTATTTATTTATTAAAACATTTTTATGCTGCCCCATTCGCCGAAGCCTCGGGGCGGCTCACATCACTAAGTTAAAATAATTATAATATAAATTAAAAATATAAATATTAAATTAAAAATACAACAATACAGTATAAAATAATCCACCCAGGTCAGATAAAACCAATAATGTTAACAGTTAAAATGCTGCTTAAATAAAAAGGTCTTCGCCTGGCGCTGAAAAACAAATCACGACGGCGCCAGGCAGACCTCTCTGGGGAGTGCATTCCATAGATTGGGCGCCACCGCAGAGAAAGCCCTCCTCCGAGTACCCACCCTCCTAATTTCTTTCACGGAGGGTTCCTGGAGAAGGGCCTCCCCCGCCGATCTCAAGGGGCGGCTGGGCATATATGGTTGGCAAGCCAGCTTCTGCAGAAATGCTTGCAAAGGAAGGGGCTTCATTGCAGGTAGCTAGATTATACGACCTTTCTTATCTTTATCGTTCTAGCATCCTATTATGTTGGGGCTTCTCGTTGGCTTAGGCAGAGGTGACAGAAAATCCACTCTGTGAGTGGATCTCCAGCCAAGGACATTTCCACCTGTTTCTGGTATCCATTCACTTAACAACAGTTGTTATAGAATGAAATGAAGTTGTTAGAATCTCTCACCAGCAGCATCTCTGGTGTAGATTTATACCTGTATTGGAAGGACATCGCAGGGCACGTTTCCTCCTCCCGTGGCACCTTTTGTGTGCATCCCTGTCACCTGAGCTGCTGTTGCTCTCCTGGTGTCTCCCAACCTGAAGATCCCAGATACCATTTCTGTAAATCGGCATGGAAAGAGCAGGACTTGTCTGCAGAATGGAAGCTATTCCAAAGAGAAGGTGGGAGAGAGAGTGGAATCGGGATAAATTGAAGAGCTTTGCCCTTCTTGGCTTGTTTAGTAGGCACTTGCGAGCAGCAAAGGAGCCAGGTTGGCCCCAACACAGGTACAAGTAGGGGTGTGGGGAGAAAATGTTCAGAATTAGGTCCCCTCGATTCTGGTTTGTTAGCCTGGTGCTGGCAGCACTTCACGCATGAGTCAAGCCAACTCACACACCTCCATCTCCAAGCTGGACCATGAACTGTGTCTATTCTTAACCGCAAATTCAGCATGTGTAAATAAGCACCGCAAAACCATCTTGTTGACCAAGGTCTATCTCAGCTGAGTTTAGACAATGTCAGTCGCAGCCCGTGGTCACCAACATACTCAGCCCTTGCGTGTGAACCAGGCACTGCTGAACCTGCCGAAATCTTACTGCCCCATAGGAGAATCTGCAAACCCTGCAGGCCTGCGACAAAGCCAGTGCTCTCCTTTCCCAAGAACAAGACAGGAAAATGGAGGAGGCCCTCCAGGCCAAAGGATGCAACGCCACCCGAGCGATTTTTCTGCAGAAACGACAGGCGGAGTTTGAGAGACAGAAGAAGTGAGTTGCCCTTTCTAATCAAGTATCTCCTTCTCTGTGCTTTTCGACTGGGGGAAAAAAGGCTGATGCCTCTTGCGTTGAAGATACACGATGGTCACTTGTTTTATATTAAGCTAGGAAAATGGCGGCATTCAATTCCTAGACACAAGGGGGAGATTTTGCGGGGGGGGGGGGGTTACTTGTCTGGTTGAGTACCTGTATCTCAGAGAGGGCGAGCAGTGTAGATTAGTCACATGTCCAAGTGGATAGAGGTGGTCTGTGGAGAATTGCCAGGCATTGGTTCTGCAGGATTTCTATACTCGTGCCAAGGCTGTGCAAGATCTCGGGGCCTCCGCGACAGTCCTGGCACTGTCCTGGCATGTTGTCCTTCTGAAGCACATGGCTGACTTCCTTTGGACTAAGTTTTCTTGTTGGCGCAAGTGGGAGAAGGACCTGGAGCCAGGTAAGCTTGCCACAGTTCAGTTGATGGGTTTTGGACAACCTCTGGCTTTTCTTCCTTGTGGAGAGCACACCCACCAAGACACACAGATCCATCACCTGGGGGACAGATGGTTCCAGATGATTCTCGCAGGAGGAGGTAGGATTCCAGCTGACAAAACTCCTGCCAAAGGTGTAGCTGACCTGGGGAGTACAGAGAGAGACAGGTGTCACCAGGATTCAACCTGGTCATAGTCTCCTTATGAGAAGCTATGGTCCCAGGCCACCTGAAGGAGGTGGCTGTAGGACCACTCCTCAGAGTCCTTGCTAGATCCTGAAGATCTGGGCAATTTTATGTGGCTTGTGCAAATTCCTTTCCTTAGCAGTCCCCCTCTCAAGGACCTTACAAGCATTCTTGGATGTTGCTGAGGTGGCAGACACCACAAAAGTATTGAGAGGAGCCATGCAAACAATGTGGAACAACCTATACATTCCCTTCTTCTGTTCCGTGTTCTTGTAAAAATTACAAAATCGGGAGTTTGCTCACTCCTTAGTGCCACTGCCTCTCATAGCTTGTATGTCATCGCTTGAAATGCAGGGAATTTATGGAACAACAGAAAGCAAGGAAAATCGAGATTGTCTCTCGGATTTTGAAAGAAAATGCTCAGCTGGAAAAAGCGAGGCGGGAGTCGCGCCCGCGGATGCCAAAGGGCAGGCGAAAGCTTTCTGATGCCTCAAGGTGGCGCATGAAAACATGGCGGTACATACAGGAGGCGTGTGGAGATTCAGCGGCAACCGTTACGCAGGTGAGTCAAGCACAGGATGCTGCCTAGTCTTTAAGAACCGGGGAACTGGCAGTGTCACTGTGCTGACTTAAAATATCACCAGTCCCTCCTGCGACGTGTAGCCCTGGTGAGACAGGAAGTAGGAAACGGAGCCAGACCTGCAAGTTTCCTTGTCTAAGGGTCTCCAGGTTAGGAGTTCACTGCCACAGCGTGTGCCAATGGCCCATACTAGATAGAAAGCGATCACCTGTCCCAGGTGGCTGGTTCTCCTATCAGACGTAGCATCTGCACTGGATTGGGAGTGCGGGGCCCACGGAGAGCTGCTGCTGCTTTCCGTCCTCTGCTCTCTCCCTTGGAAGTCGCTGCCCCAGCACTGCCCTTGTTCGCCAAAGGAGCCGTTTGCTGTGAAAGCCCCATGCCAGCCACGCTGAGGGCCGGGATGCTGGGAACGAAATGCCGTCCCGGCGTCATCCCCTGGGGCTGCTCTGACGCTTTCTGAGTTCAGCATCACCAGGCAATGCTCACCGCTCTGTCTCCACATCGCCGTTCCCGCTTCCCGCTGCTCTTGGCAATGCGTGGAGCGTTTCCTTGGGACGTTGTCAAGGGTCTCTCGGCTAGTTGGCTTTGTCAGTGACTCTTGGGCTTCCTTTATAGTCAAAGCCAAACCACGCTTCCAAAATGGTGGAAGTTAGGGTAGTCCGTCACCATTGTTTTGTTCCACTGCAGAAAACGTGGCGGTCCCCTTCACCTTGTGACTTGCTTGAGGACAAATGCTACTTTCTGGAAGGATCACAGTGGACAATGCCAGAAATTAAAGATGAAGACGAGGAGGAAGATGGAAGTGAGACGCTAGCCGAGCCAGAGTTTACAGGCATCTGGGATCAAGAGTGCAGGATATCCGAGGTTAACCTTTCATCATTTGGAGACAAAATGTTAGATGAAACACCAAGGTCCTTAGCTTATGGCAGAAGACCGACTCAGATTTTTCTGCATTTAGCCAACCGTACCCTGAATGTAGAACAGAGCTGGCTGCTCCCCTGACCCCAGGAGTCAGGCAGGGTCATCCAAAAGAAGTGGCTCCTTACTTACTCATTTCATTCCTACACTGCCCCACAGCCAAATTTCCCTTGGTGGCTTACACAGTCCCTAAAAGCAGATGAGAAAAATGCAATAGAATATCAGAAACTCAGAAAAAAATTATATTTAAAATGACTAATAATAAAAACAGACGAATATCGCAAAGGCATGACCCTGCAAAGCACTTGGTGATTCCCCTCAAGTCTTTAAAAGTCTCAGAAGGTGGCCATCTTTTAGTGGCACTGAAAAGACAGATTCAGTGCCGGGCAGGCTGCAGTGGAAAGCTTATTCCATAGATGGGGGGGGTCACTGAGAAGCCCCCCCCCACAAGTTGGCACTTGGAGGAAGGTCCCAGAGGTTCAGTGTGGTATCCAGGTAGATTTTGGGTGGGAGAGGTCCCAAGAAAACGTCAAGTTTAATAGGTTAAATCCAGCACTTCCGGTTCGTGTTGTGGTTAGTCTCCTTTCCAGGCGGACATGATTCTCTGCTGGTATCCTGAGGTCTGTTTCTTTATTAAGGGGTGGAAGTTGAATGTGTGGAAGTGTAGCCCATCCATGCTGGTCCTATACGCAGCTTGATCCAACACCCCCCCCCCCATATGCTCTATTTAAGGCCCAAGTGGTGGAGAAGCGAGATATATCTGTCAAATAAATGCATTTGCACTCAGGCACTATATATACATGCATGTGGTATTCAGACAGATAAAACAGTTAATTAGCACTTTCATGGCATTGCCTGCATTCATCTGTACTTGCTTGCCTTCCCCTAAGCCCCCGGAGCTTGCAGGTACTTTAAGTATGAGTAGTGGGAATGTTTGTGAACATTCCATAGCACCTGATCAGCTGAGCTAGTACTTCTGGGCTCTTTTCAAGCAAGTGAAGTTAATGCATCCCATCCAAATAGCCACGGGGGTTTTAAAAATTGTGCTCTGCAGGAGTTTCTTTTGCTTGCATGCTCTAAAAGCTTTGCTGTGTTTACCAAATCTTGGAGGGAGGGGCAGAGGCAAATTAAAAAGCACCCCTTTCCCTCTAAGACCTGCATGTTCTGGCATTTCAATCTGAGTTGCCTCCCTGCAATCTGAACAAAAGTCCCTAAAAGATGATTATCCAAGGGGTAAAATAGATGCTCCGCCTTTCTGAAATATTGTTTCACCACCACTTCAGGTGTCAGACGACAGGAAGGACTCCAAACCTGTCGGTGCAACCAAACTGGAAAAAGAGATTTTTGCTCAGAACCTGGAGAAGCTGCACAGCGGGGTCATTCGCAAGCACAGAGTGTGTGGTCGTGAATTTAAGGGGTGTCCTTTTTACAGCAAGCCAAGCCTCGTTCATTTCAAGGTTAGTGCCAATTTGAAATGGAAACGGGGGGCCACCGCTCCGAAGGCCCCTCACCTTCTTGCCACTAGCTGAGCTTCTCTCAGTGCTGCCACTCAAATGAAGTCCTCTTGAATGCTGCAAATGGCTTTTGGGTTAAATTTTAGGTGGTAGGAGGTAGTCCAACAGGTAATACAGTCCCAAACAAGTAAGTCTCAATACAGAAAATGAACCTGCACCTTAAATAAGACTTCAAGCTCTAGAGAGCCAGTGTGGTGTCGTGGTTAAGAGCGTGGGACTGGGACTCAGGGGATCCGGGTTCGAGTCCCCGCTCAGCCATGGAGCCACCGGGGTGACTTTGAGCCAGCCACAGACTCTCAGCCTGACCTACCTCACAGGGTTGTTGTTGTGGGGATAAGATGGAGGAGGAGGAGGATGTAAGCTGCCTTGAGCCCTCTGTAGGAAAAAGGCAGGATATAAATCAAAAGATAAATTAATAAAATGTTGCTACTTCTGGTTATTTAATTCATGCTGTTAAAATAGGGGCAAAGTCCAAAGAGGAAGCCCCACATAGTGCCAATGTTTACATTTCTATCCTGCCTTTCTTGCAGTGAACACAAGACACAGAATACCATCTCCTGCTTGTATACATCCTATCCCTAGTACAACTTTAATATGTCTTAATGGAAAGAAATTAATTAAGAAATCTTAATGGATAGATTTGAAATGTGTGTATTCTCTACTACGTATGCAGTTGTGCGTGGAGCAAACCGTGTTTTTAAAACATCCTTTTAAATGGTCAAACTTTTCAATGGCACACAGTATGTTGATGCAAAGATACTTAAGGAACTAATTTTATTAATCAGAGTGGGTGTGAGTAACAAGAAGCATCTTCTTGGCCTTTCAAAAGTAAGTTCTTAAAGATACAATCTTATGTGTACGGAAACACAGAAGGCCTACAATTTGCAGCATTCCCCGTGCAGGCTGGGAGTTGTAGGCCTTTACTTGCATCCAAACATGCATAGCGCGGATCACAGTCCCGCCCTTCCTCGAGGGTAGGTGTCATTGACCACACTGGTGTGTTTTTCTGACTGAAAACACACACAGGGTCGTGCTGTCACTCCACTAAACACTGCAGCCCCACTGTTCACCCGCTAGAAGAACGATGTTGGAGTGGGTGTACTTTTTGCTATGTCCGGCACTCCGTTCAGACGTACCACTTGGAGCAAGGCGACTGTAGCGATCGCTCCAGGCCCACTGCGATGTGACGGTGGCTCAGCCAGTCACCCGAGGGTTGTGCTCCTGCCTCCAAAGCTCTGCCGGTGTGACGACATGTGCTCTGATCCGGTGTAGGACTTTGATGTTGGAAAGACATACAAAAAGAAGATGGTCTTGATCAATGCCTTCTACAGCATTAACTACTGCAAACTGGTCGGAGTCAGCGAGCACCTGAAGGATTTTTTCACTGTTCAGTAAGTAGGCCCTGGTGGTCACTGGGACTTGGGCCCTGGGGAGACAGGAGCCAGCTGAGGTGTCTGCCTGGCTTCATACTATGCCACTGATGAGGTCCAGCCGCTGCTGCGCTGCTGGGGACACCAAAGCCCTGCATCCCTTGGGCCAGTTGTAGCCTCTTCTGATGGTGGCTGATGACTGCTCCTCTGGCCACTTCCAAACGGCCGGTTCTGTGGGGTGATGCGAAGAACCGACTCATTTACTTGTCTGGGGGCGTAGCCTGCTCCAACCGGTTGCCAACACTGATTGCAAAACATGAGCTTCACTTACTTCGTCCCCGTTCTTCCAAAGGCTGGTTTAGCTAGAAGGTCTTCCTTTACTGCCAGAAGAAGACATGGGCAGCCATCCAGGGCGAGGGAATTTGTGCAGCCCGAGTCAGGATACCAGTCCCTGTGAAAGCTGCAGGTGATGGATGTGGTGGTGGTGGGCCTTCTTAGAGCACTGAAAGTCCTTGGTAGCACCTTGAGCTCACCTTGAAATGGACCCAGAAGAACACGGGGTGAAGGCTCAAAACTGAGGCCTGAAGGCGGGTGGGTAGAAAGAAGGGTGGGGGGGTATCAGAACCCTTACAGGCATGGTCCAGAGTGCAGCTGCAAACGCTTAGTATATTGCATGACAGTCAGGCTGAGGGGAAGCAAGCAGGGAACATTCTCAATTGCATCTGCCGCCCCTGATCCTTGATGCTGTTAGGGGTTCTGTTGTCCTCACAGCTTTGACGTTTCCCTTCTTGAATAGTTAGGATCAGAGGAGAAAGTTCCTCCTCCTCCTCATCCAAGTTAGACCCCCACCAAAGACACTCCAATAGTTTAAAGGATCCTGTAGGCTCTTCTGCCCTCTCTTAGGGAGAAGGTCATTCCAAGTTTGAGGTAGAAGTGGCTTCCTTGATGGAGGCAACCCTTGTTGACTAGAGCTGATCAGGGCTGCCATGGATAGGACACCTTGGGGCGGGGGGCTTTATAGGTTCGCCAGAAGTCAGAGACCATTTGATGTCGCATCACAACAACGGGGGAGGTGCAAGGATGATCGCCACCCTTCAAAACTTGACCCCTATAACTCTATAGCCTTGTTGGAAGGGGGGAGGAAGGCAGGGGATGGTCCACGGCGAGTCCATTCATCTGTTGGCTGTGCTGTGGGTGCTCCTCTGAGCAACAAACCTAACCCACAGTTGCTTCTTGGTAGTGTGGGTTCGTGTGACGTGCAAACCTGCCCACGCTGCGCTTGCCACATCGATTCCTCCCTCACAGGCCTTTTTCTGCAAGAAAAACGAAGCGGTGGGAAAACATGAGAGGGTTATAAATGGAGCAGTGTGACCCTCCCTTTGCCCACCCACTATAAAATTCCGTGAATGCGGAAGGCGGCGATTGCATAAGGGCCCGCAAGCAACCCCAAACTAAGATTGTTGTCTCCAAATAGCACATCCTGAGCCAAGAACACCCAGATCATTGGTTCCATTGTAGATGAAAAGCCTGGAAGCTTGCAACGGGCAGCGTCTTCCTAATGCCTGCGACTTTCTAATGCGGGACTGACTCAGAAGACTTAGGTGTTTACGTTGGTATCTTAACCAAAATACCAAAAACGTGCTCTTGATCAGTGAACTCACAGGATACAGCAACAGAACTCTCTTTCAGTGCACGTTATCCGAGCTCCTGGCTGGCGCTTTCAAGTCTGCGTTCTTTTCTCGACTAGATTACATGCCCTAGCAGATTACTGCTAGAGATGGGGCTCGTGCCCAGATCAGATCTGTCTGGATTGGACACGGGCTCCGTAATGCTCTCATCTCAAGTTGAAAGCTGTAAATTAGCAGCTTATTACGCTGGCTGGCTTTAGCTAGGTTCTCAGAAATTGTGCTGCAAATCAAGTGGCAACTTGGCATGATCTTAGCTGCATGCCATCCTTTAAGATTCTCAGCTGGGGGTTGCCCTGCAAGGCTAGATTGCTCTCCCCACCCGCAAGGAAGAGCTGAGACATGTGGCATGCTTAGATGGTCCCTGCCGTTGTGTGTCATGACTCTGCTTCTTATTCCAAGGGTGCAAAGCACTCCCACACTGGCGTCAATCCTTAAAACGCGGATTCGGAGCCACAGGATTCAGTAAGAAATCCTTAAAAGTTACACAGAACGCCAGAGGAGTCAAACCAGTCTGCAAATATCAGGTCTTTCAAGAGCAGTGTGACCCTAATCCCTTATGTAAGGCTGACACTCCAGGTTGGAAGGCTTGTTGGACTGGATGGTTGTCTGAGGTGGTCCAGTACCATCTATTCTAGCTTAGCTCTTCAAAATTTTATTTATTTATTTATTTATTTATTAAAACATTTTTATGCCGCCCCATTCGCCGAAGCCTCGGGGCGGCTCACATCATTAAGTTAAAATAATTATAATATAAATTAAAAATATAAATATTAAATTAAAATACAACAATGCAGTATAAAATTTTGGGCAGAGAAGGACGTTTCCCATCACATCCCGTTAAAATGCTCTGATCCCTTTAATGGGCAATTCTGGGATGAAACCCAGGGCCGTCCATGGGCAAGGCAGGCACTGCTCTGCTTGGAAGAAGCCCTTCATAGGAAGCCATACCGAATCTGGCTGGCTCCATATTGACCACACGCGGTTCAGCAGTGGCTCCGCAGGGCGTCATGGCAAGATGTTTCCCCGGATCCACCAGGAGATACCAGGGTGAAACCCCATCCTGCTTCATTTCTCAGCCACTATGTGACACTTCTGTTTTTGGTGCTGTCCACGGGAAGCCCTTTATGAAAGGGCAGGGTTTTGTTCCAGAGGCAGGAAAATGTAGCCGCTCCCTCCACTTTGAGTGGGGCTGTCTGTCCGCGGCAGATTCCGTTCTAGAGGAGCGATCCATGTGCCTACCATAGCTTGAGGACAGACGTTCAGGACCATGGACAGGTCCTTCAAAGCATAGACCAGTATCTGCAGCTGCTCCACAGGCTACCTCGGAAAATCTCCCTGGACAAGAAACGGGCGTTGAGGCCATTCCAGAGATGGAGCCACCAAGCTGTGGCTTCAAAGAACCCAACAGGGGAGGGTAGAGGTGTCTTCAGAAGGAAGAGACGAAAGGCCATGCTGGATCAGACCAAGGTCTGTCCAGTGCAGCTCTTGGTTTTCACGGTAGCAAGCTAGCTGCCCCAGGATCCCTCAGTCAGGATGGGCACGCGAGTCCCTCCCTGCCCAAGCTCCCCAGCAACTGGTGCGTGCAGGCATATTTCCTCTGGTAGCTGAGGCCGCTCGCAGCTCGCAAGACAGGTTGCCATGCAAAGCCCTCCCCAGCATGAATTTCTGCAGTCCCTTTTACAACCCACCCACACTGATGGCCACTGGCTACCGCTACTTCCCGAGGCAGCGAACGCCATCGTTTAACTGTGCAGCGTGTGAAGAATTACTTCGCAAGATTTGATGAGCCCAACATCAAGCAACAGATTTTTTTAAAGATGCTTTTGCTGATTTATATATTGAACACATCCCATAAGTTCTAAGATCTAGATAAAACGAGGATTGGCTTTGGAGCTTCTGCTCTTGGATGCCTGCTGGTAAAAATCAAGAAAGTGGGTGAGCACGAGCTGTGGAGCACCCCTCAGCGTGCAAAAGTGCTATTTTCAGGATCTGAAAAAGCCTTTTTGCAGAAGTTTCAGTAATACAAAATAGATTGAACTCCTTAACGAGATACTGATGGTTAAAATGATTAAGTCATATTCTTTGCCTTCTGTCGTTATGAGAGCTGTGTGAATAAGCTTTGAAATGCTGATCTAATTCTGTCTTTATTTACCACTGTAGCTTTGATCCTCCCGGTCCGATGTCTGCTGGAATGTCTTGTGAAGTCGGGGTGACCTTTAAACCGATGGTAGGAGTAATACGCAATCATTCTGATTAAATGGTACTTGCAAATTTCATGATAGCAAAAGGATTAAATGAGGAGCTGCCCTGGGTTGATACGGGGTTTAAACTGTGAAATGCCATCCTTTTTATAACTCTGCTAGGCATGGAGTGGATGTCTTAAAATGCTTCCATGTTCAAATGAGGAGACAGGAGCAAAGCATTGCACTTCTGAGTGTTTCTCAGTCTACTTCATTGTAGTCTATTCTGACCGGCTGCAGGTTCTCCAAAACCTTCTGGCAGGAATCCTTAATTTCACCTGCTACCTGACTTTCACCTGGAGACACCGGGCACTGAATTTCAGCCCCAGCCCAAGTGGCAGCCAGCACCCAGTGGGACTGGGGGAGGAGAGGGTAGGGTCGCCGTGGGCCTGCTGTCCTTTGCTGAGGGTTACCACAAGCCCGTTATCCAGGCTGTAAGGCTCAAGTTTCTTCTTCCAGCACCAAAGTAGCTTGCAAACAGAGGGAACTTGTGGTATAATCCAGGAGGGCATGTATCATGTGGCTGGCTGGCCCTTCCTTTGCGGTCTGGAGCATCTAGGCATGGCTGCTTTTGTTGCTAAAGTAGGCAAGAATTGCACAAGGACCCACTGTGGGACAGCTGGAAAAGGTTCCCTGGAAGGCAGCAGGGACAATCGGGGCTGCCACAAAGCCCTGTGTGGCCCGGAGAAGGCGGAGGAGTCTTGCGCCGAGGCTTCATCGACAGAAAATCCTCACCCTGCGTAACTGAGAACGTGTTTTTTCCGAACTGTCATGCCTGGCGCAAGGGGCCTGGCTGGGACCGCAGTGCGAGGCGAACGGCCGCAGCGCAAATCGTGTCTTTTATGGATCGGCTCCCCGTGTTTTGTGCTTAGAAGACCTCCTCTCTTGCCTTCCCAAGATGGTTTGCAGTCAGATCCCAGCAAAGCGCAGTGGGAAGTAATTGGCAGCATGGAAATGAAAACCCAAGCAAACTGTGCAGCTCCGCAGCTGTGCAGCTGCCTCTCAGAAGCACTCTGCAGCCAGCAGATGCTGTCAACGGCAAACGATCTGCCGCACAAATTTTGCGTATGGCCTAGCAACTCCTTAAATGGGCTCAATGCTTAATTTGCTGCCGCATGTAATGGAACTTTGAACGTCTCCTGTTTCCTACCAGATAAATGAAGACCTTGAGGGAGAAATCACGTTTTTATCTCAGATCGGTTCCTTTTCAGTCCCGCTAAAATGTTCAACCAAGAAGTGTGTGGTAAGTCGAAGATTTACTGCTGGCTTAGAGGCGACTGTCTTGTTTCAGAGCGCGAAACTTGCTCCCTTCAGCATGATAAATGCCCCACCTCCATTCAGAGCGAACACGGCCGTTTCCCATTTGTTCCAACAACGTCTTTGTGAAGCTGCGACTTGTGTAATTTCCTTCTTATATGCAGCTTTTCCAGAATCTTCCCTTTGGATAAGTTTCCAAATGAACTTTCGTTACCGAGTTACTTCGGTTTCGCTAGATGCAGATTGTGACGTTGTTTTAAACAGGACACAGTCAATGGCTGTCAACAGTTCCACTTCTATGGGGAGGAAAACTTGCTTTCGGAAACCGTGGGAAATAGAGAGTCCCCCCTTTTGGCGCGACATCTCCTTTTTCATTCTCTACTCCACAGGCAGCTTTATAAGCATCCTATACTTAGAAGTGACTTTAGAAGCTTCACATCCCACATTGCTCTCTCAGATGTGAACCCAAAGCAGTTCAGGTAGATCGGAGCAAATACCAGTCCAGTAGAGAAAATTCGGTCGGGGGGATCTGTTTGGTCACACCCTTGATCAGGTGCCCCTGAACTTGGAGGTGTCCAGTCTTCTCAGGTAGGGCTGGAGTTGCTTCCCTGCCCAGCCATCTTGTGCATTTCACTAGTGATGGCACTTCAGAGATTTGGCATAACCGTATCCTGGCCGTTCCAGTCTCCCAACGCCCCTTTATCCCCCTCTCCGAAGATGATTTTCTGACCTATTCACGGGAGGTGGCTCAGGCCTCTGATCTCGCTTCCTCAGTTGGTGCGCGTGCTCAGACCTCGGAGATGCTTGGGCCACATCTTGAGGCCACAAGATTGCTACCTAATACACTGTGACAATACCATCTCAGCCTGCAAGGCAGGCATGGCATAAAATCACTCTTTGATTTGTGCCGGGAGAATCTCACCAGGCAGCCAAAGAGTAAGTAATATACAAGGTCACGTCACCGCCCAAAGCTAGTGTGATTGCTTGCAAACTGCCCAGAGAGCTTCAGCTATTGGGTGGTAACATTAAGCAAACTACACAAATGATGGATGAAGATGACTTTAAAATGGCCAGAAAACAATTAGCCAACAGCTTTCCAAAAGAGCCAGTACCAAAAAGAGAACCTGTAGCAGCTGGAACACTTCTCTGGAAAGACTGTTCTGCAGAGTTGGGCACCAGTGCTGAAAGGCCCGTGGTGTGGTGTGGTGTGTGTGTGTGGGGGGGGGCACTTCACTTGGCTGCAGCACCCAGAGGAGTGCCCCAAGAATCTAGAAGCTGGGTATGTTCAGTGAGAACAATAATGCTCTCATTATGGATTTTCAAAATTATGTTTATTAAAAAGACTATAGGAGGGCGCTTGCCAAAATGCCTATTTCGGAGGACCCTCTCCAAGAATTAGTCACGGCAGTTGGAAACAACATCTTTAGATCTCACCAGCAGTTTGCAATAAGAGTTTATGAGCCATTTTTGCCAATCCATTGTTAGCAGTTTTTGGAGAAATGTTCAAGGCCGATACTGAAGGGAAAAGACGTCAATGCATTATTTTTAGGATTTAAATAGTTTCATCAAGGACGGTTGTTTTTATTAAATACAAATGCTCATACCCTACAAGCTGTTACTAGCTTATAGACTGCCCAGGACATAATTAACTCGATGGCGTGTTTCCGTTTGTATTGAAAAGTGGCAGCATTTTCTTTAGATTGAGAATGTGATGTGTAGAAAGTCAGACAAGTGAAAAGGGTGGCTTTAACTGTGGGATCTTAGAAACAGCAAATGAGGCAGTCAAAGAACAGATTTCGAGATCCTGACTTTGCATCCCCTTTCTGGGTACATTCCCCTCTCTCAACAGCCCATCCTGACAGCATGCTGTGGTGGGTTGATTGTTGTTCAAACAACCCATGGTGCACCTGACAGATGGTCAGGGCCACTGTGGGTTGTCTGCAGCCTCCCTGCCCCTCAGGGCCTCCCACGGGGTGTTGCTGGGGACACTGTGGCAGAACTGACTCGTCTCTCCACCCCACTCGTCAGTTTGCAAGCCTCTTTGCGCACAGGTTGGTTTTCTGGCACACACAAGTCGTTCTGACGGCCCCTCCAAGGTGCTGCTTGGGCGCCTGGGAGGGCTGTCAAAATGGGGAAGGCTGGCTTTCGTGCACTCCGCACTGGCTTTGTGAAATGGTCCAGGGAGAAATGGCACTGGGCAGCCACAAGCAGCGGGTCTTGCAGCCTGCACACTGCCTCGGGCACGGGACGCGAGGCCCGGGCCCTGCCCCCTGAGCCCCCTTTCAGCTCCCACTGTGCCGTGCATGTCCCCCTTCAAAGGCATCCTCTCCCTTTCCTAGGTGACGTGGCCATACCTTTGTGATCTGTATCTTCTGCTTTTGCGATGTGGAGGAAGGAGCTAATCTTGCATCCGAACTGGTGTCGTGCCTTTGCTAGGGTCTGAGCCTCCTCGGAAAGCCATGAGCTTGGGCTCGGGGAGATTTTGGGATGCAGCCTTCCATTAATCTTCAGGCAAAGCAGGTTGATCAGCCAAGCCACTGAAGAAGTCCCTAACCACATTAGGCGGGAGCAGCTGATGCCCTGCTCCCTTAACCCTCACAAGAGCTTTCGGATCCAGGCTGGGCCCTGGGCGGGGCAGCAAGGGGGCCCTGCTTGGCGCCTTTTCCTCTGCCACAGGCTCAGCTCTGGCCCAGTGCAGTCTGCCTTCCCTTGCCTGGGGAGCCTCTCCAGCATTCTTGCACTGGTTCCCATAAGACAACTTGCCGTGAGTATAAATGGAATGCTACAGGAGTCGGGGTCCCCAGAGCTTGTTCTGGGAGAGCCACCTCTGGAGATAAGGTTCTTATCCTTCTCAGATGCTTCTTCTAATCTTTTCTTGCCCATCGACCAAACCACGAGGAGCCCTCAATGCCTGGCTTGGATCGGTTCCTGCCGGCTTTCCGTGGCAACATCGCCAAGTTTAGAAACGTGCCCTGTGACTTGGCAGGAAACAAGTAGCTTAATAAATCAGTTTCTTGGAACACTTATTTGTCATTAAATGTCAAACTTAGCACAACAAACATGTCTAAATACCAAAATAGCTGTAGTGTGGAAATGGAGCTCCTTTGCGAAAGGCCCAGTCCTTGGAGGAGCAACATTAGCGTCTTTGAGGGTCTGCCCCCGGGGACCGATGTTGTTGTACCCAGAAAGGTTCTCTCCCGTTCTGTCCTGTGTGTGATGGCAAGGAACTTTGTCTGAATTTAGAGTCTCGGCTGTGGGCAATAAAAATGGGAAAGGCTGCCATGTGGCAGAGCGATTCTGCAAGTCTCCTCACAGCCACGGGCCTGTACCCTGAAGCTGCAGGGAAGACGAGCAAGATGCTCTGGCAGACCTGCGGAGGAGTTGCAAATGTCGATCAAGCCGTTATCTGAAGGCAGCCACCTAGCGGGAACCGTACAATGACTACTTTTCTTGCCCATGTGACATTTACAGTTGAACGTTTGCAGCCTTCAGGGTCACCCAAGCATCTAATTACTACCTCGTTGCACAGATCTCTCTCTTTGTGGGGCCAACTCTTGCCTCTTGACAAAGAGGTTTTGCAGCGTCGTTTCGTTTTGCATTTCCTTCCCTCGTGAGCAACACGCACGCAGGCACGGCAGTGATTCCAGAGAGGATCTCTGTGTGTACATGTGTGTGGTGGGGAGCTTTTCGATTGTTCAGGTAGCTGCATGACAGTCCGACCGGAGGGGAAGTCTCTCTGGGCCATCAGGTCTCTCTGTTCAGGTGCTGTGCTTGAAATGTTCATTTCACTGTCTTTATAGGGCACTAATACTTCCGTTTCCCCACCACCTCCTTTTCAGCTGGCTCTGGATAAAGAGCTCATTGATTTTGGCACTCATGTGGTGGGAGAGACAATTTCACGGACCATCACCTTGACGAACTCCGGTGCCTTGGGAACCCGGTTCCAGCTGTGCAGATCAGGCAGCTCGGATGTGGCACACGCTGAGATGCTTCTGCCCTCCGCTGAGAAAATGGTTGGTTTGTCTCCGCTTCCTCAGATGAACTTTCAAGCCCTTGGTGGTTCGAAGCCCTGGCTTCTCAGAAGGAAACGGTGACCCTAAGATGGTCTGGCAAGAGTTTGTGTGAAAGGAGCTTGGTGTTGCAGACGATCCAAAGTGGAATGTGATGTAGGATCGTTTGTTTGTTTTTTTACAAATGCAAATTGTTAAAAAAAAATAATGCTTTTTTCAATTTGCGTTTGTAAAACAGGTCAAATGCAAAGTTAGGTTCCACGGCTAGAAGTTTGGTTTCAAAATAGCAGGAAATAATTCCATTTGCTTCGAATACCATGCCCAGCTCTGGACACATCCTTTTGAAAAGGAGTCGGCTAAATCAGGGGAGAGGCAACGAAGATGACCAGGGACTAGAACCTTAAATCCTGTAAGAAAAGAGGGATGGAAACAGGGAACTTTCTCCTTGAGAAGAGGGAAGGTGGGTATCAGATTGTTCAACTACCTAAAGGGTGGTCACACTGAGAGGAACAGTGCCCTGTTCATCACGGACCAAGGCTGCAGGACTCAACGGGCTGCGGTTGCCAGAAGGCAGTTCTCGATTAAACATCACGGAAAACGTCCCAGCAGCAACAGCCTGGCAAGGGGAACCAATGCCCAGGGAGGCAGTGCTGGTCTCCACTCATCGCAGGAGCAGCAGCAGCGATAAGCTTGGCGGCCGTTTCTGAGGCAGCCTTGTCTTTCTTCACCTCCTCCTGCCTGTCGTGTCCTTTGGGGGCGTGTGAGATGGGGATGGTGGCCGTGCCGCAATTTCTGCGCAGTGACCAGCTTGTCTCTCTAATTGCCAGAGTGACCATGAATTACCCCAGAATTCTGCGGGGGTGACAGGTCCACCAAACTCAGGGTTAAGAAACAAAAAACACATTCCCGTGTCTCTGTCTATTCCTATCTTTCCTCAAGTGTGTGTTGGTTCCTCAGTTCAGCATGGGCAACGTCCCTGTCTTTTGGCAGGTGCCGTCTCCCAGGGCCAAGTGATCCGAAAACAGGTCTGAGGACACAGCACCGTATTCTCTAAAGGCTCTCTTGGTACAAAGCAAGTGGCCAATTCTGGGGACACTGTGAGGGGAAATCTTTCTCTCTTCACAGCACTAGGCCAAACCAGATGTAGAGGTACATGTCTTCCAGCCTGCATAGTCCATCCAGCAAGAACTGAAATCCAGCCTGTTAAAACCTGCATCCTTTAACTCTCCTAATTTAGGTCTGCCCCCCTGTGCTGGGAATAAGCAGCGCTGAGAAAAGCAGCATCAACAGCCAGAGAGACTCCGTGGTTGACAAGGAAACGGTCTCTCCTTCCCGCTCCGAAGAGGTTATCCAGCACAGCAACCTGATGCCCGAGAAGCTGAGGTCCGACGTGACGGCAAGCGTCATCCAGTTGGGTAGGATTTCTGCTTCAAAAAAAAAAAAAAAGAGTTAAGTTCCAAGAGTAGAAGTCAGAGGAACGACAAGCCTCTCGCAGGGTTCCTCTGACACATTGCCCAGCCTTGCTTCCTCGTGAGAAAGTGGCTGGATGCCCCTCGCAGCCTCTGCCCTGCAGTGGCAGGGATGGTGGGTGGGAATGAGCCACCTTTCCTGCCTCCTGGAGAGGAAGGCAAGCCGTGCAGCTGGGCACCCCCGCCCCAATCCCCCCAGTGGGGAAACGGGGCGGGATGTGCACTGCCCCCTCTGTTAGGAAGGCCTCAATAACCGAAGAGCTGAGCACTGAGGCACCCTCTGAGCCGTGCCAAGCCGTGCAACACTGGCCGTGGCCTGCGTGTGAAAATAGTAGTGCTCCCCAGGTGCAGCACGTTGTGTGAACCCAGCCAGCGTGTCGGTGCTGCCTCTGGAACGCACAACACTCGGCTGGCATTCAGCGTGCAGCTCTTGGTCCGGGCAGATGGTGCTTCTTGGTCCATGAAGGGTGTCAGTGCGGTGTGGGACCCTTTCTCCTACGAATGTTTGCCTTTTTATATTAAGAAGTTTGTTTGATAGGGGGGATCAAAGGTCAAATTCTCCCTTCCTTGGCTTTAAAAACATAGTTGTAGATGGGGAAACATAAAGCGCAGAGAGATTACAAATGGAAAGGAGAAGGTTGTGTGTTAAAGCATTGTGCTGCTTAGAGTGTGCGAAGGAAGAGGATCAGAGTAGCGAGAGGCAAATTTTCAGTGCTCCCAGCCAGGCCAGTGAAAGTTGTCAACAAACAGCATCAAAAACCTTGGCTTGACCCTTGCAAGGAATTTTCTGCTGCTCACAAAATGACCATTCCCATGATGCCTTGTCAGATCAAACTCTTGTTGAGCTGATTAGAGAGAATGAGCCTTCTCTCAGCCCACTGTCCGTAAGAACCTCAGCTGAAGAAACCCTGTTTCTGCGGCTATACATCTTGCTGGCTGCAAGTTGTCATCTCCCCTTGTTGCTAGCTTTGCTTGTTTCTGTTCCTGTGCTAGCAATGTGCATTGGTTTTCTCTTGGTTCAGCTATTATGTGATTTCTTTCCCCTGCAGAGGAGGGCAGGATGCGCTCCAACAGAGCCAAGCTCAAGGGACCGAGGTTCCATTTGGATGCCAGGAAGCACTTCCTGACAGTTAGGACCCCGAGGGTGTGGAATGGGCTTCCACGGGAGGTGGTTGAGGCCCCATCGGTGCGGGTCTTCAAGGACAGGCTGGACGTGCACATGGTGGGCATGTCGTGAGCAGAGCCGGCTGGAGCCGGGGGTCAGACTAGATGGCCCCGCAGACCCCCTTCTGATTCGCTCTTTTTCTATGTTTCCAAACCACCCTGGGAATTGCAGTTCATTGGTGCTGTGATCTATCGTCATGAGAGATTGCTTGCCCCTTCCTTGCTGACTTCTATTCCCAGGGTTCCATAGCGATAGGGGAATAACTTAATCCAGTTTGAAGTTGTATTATAAATATGTCATGAATGCAACACACATACAGTCAAGATGCAATAAAACATTTTTCCTCTTCCAGTTTGCAGGTTCTGGCACCATAAAAAGCCATGATCTTTATACACATAAAGTCAGCTAAAATTATACAGTGGCAACCTTAACCGAGAAGCAAAACCTTCCAAAATCATTTTGGAGTTTTCTTTTCAAGGCCACAGAATGTTCCTTTTTCTCACTTCTCCTTATCTGAACACCCACCTTCCGAAAGAGAACCACATGACAAGCTTATTTTTATAACCTGTAATTTTACAAATGAAATGACGCAAAGATAATCCACATAAGAATTATTCCACCATCTCTGCCACTCCGTCATATCCCAGGAAGTGTCATAAATGGCTTTGGGAAGAATGAAGCCATTCGATTTGGGAAAGTTATTGCCTGGTGTAGCTGCACTGTGGTGCTGACGTTTTGCAAAACACCAGCTTGGATTTTGCATTTCATGGAGGGTCGGTTGTCAGTCAGACCAGAGAGGATGAAACAGTCTCAAATAATCCTGGCCACACCGTTACTTACATGGGGCTTGCACCGCAATACAGGCATGCTTGCTGATCCTGCCGATACTTCCCTGTTTGGGTATGAGGGCACTTCAGCTGCTTCACACACTATACGAGGTGTGTCCAGAAAGTAACGAGAATGATATTTTAAAAATTCTTGTATAGAACAAATTTACAACTGAACATTGTCTCCTTCAAACTATGTACCTTGCGAGTGTCCAGCAATTTCCCCCGTCTTCAGAGCATCCCTGGAAGTCTTCCAGTAGGGTGGCGTTCAAAGCCTGCGCAGTGGCTCTTTGGACGTTATCCACACAACCAAAATGGTGTCCTTTCAAACTGTTCTCCATCTTTGGGAGTATGAAAAAGTCACCAGGAGCCCAGTCGGGGCTGTAGGACGGGTGGGGAAGCCCCATGATGTGTTTCTCAGCCAAAACCCCTGTTCTGTTCCTTTCCGGGGGGTGTCCAGATCATTGTCCGTCTGCAACACTTTCTCATCCATCCTTGAAGGCCTTGTGCCATCGGTACCCTTGTGCGGCTGGCAGCACAGCTTCTCCATAAGCTTTCCTCACCCTTTCCAAAGTTTCTGATGCTCTTTCACACAATTTTATTGCATAGCGCTGTTCCAAACTCGCTTGCGTCATTCTTAATATGAGGCACTAGAACAGGGTGTCCCAAAAGAGAACGTCTCGACTCTGGCAGGGCAGGAAAGCAGCTGATCGGTCTTCCAACGTACCCCTGGCACCCCACCCCAAGCCCCTTGGCCAGCTTCCCCCTTCCCGGAGCCCTTCTTGAGCGCAGGGATTCATTCTCGCTACGTTTTGGATGCACTCGTACATTCTGCACTGTCGCAGGCTTGAAGCCTTTGCACCGACAAAGCCCACAAAATCAATGGAGTTGTGCATCCTGGGTAGCAAAATAGAAGAACAGGATGCCAGGACCTCAAAGAGGTAAGATATGCCCATGGGAAAGCTGCTTTGACTAGAAAACATAGATCCAAAGCCTGTTTCCGGAAGCTGGAAATAAACAGCAGGAGTGCTCCATTCCTGCCAAAAGTATTTGTTCGTACCCATTCGGTTTTTCCGCAGAGCGCTAGCAAGAAACACGTGGACTTGGGGCAATTTTGCAGGGGTCAACAGGCCATTGGTTTGATGGTTTTCCAACATCAGAGGCACAGTTTGCTCTATGAGAAGAACATTAAGTCTTCGGAGGAAAAGAGCTAATAGTCCCACATACCTTCATTTGTTTGTTTTCTAGAGCATTTCTGTCACGCGGCTTCGACGGTAGACATAACCCGAGGAAGCCCCCTGCCCTCCCTCGTAATGAGCTCCCTGGAATGCCTGTGGAAGGAAGAAATCGTGGCTGGCAAGGTAACTGCAGGAGAAGCAGGAGGCAGCAGAACACCTGCTTAGGTGTGACCCAGGAACCCCGCTTCCGTCGACGGCAGCATTCCCCCCGGGATGATCTTGTGAGGGTCAGAACCACCTGCTGCTGGTGGAGAGGGCTTCTCTGTCTTCCTACCCCCCGTTTCTTCCTCCCCCTCTTCTGTCCTGGCTAAGGAGCTTCTGGGGAAGAGAGAGGGGTTATCTGCTTGCTCAAAGGGGGCTTCTGAATTTGGCCTCGAGTCCCAGGCTGCCCACCCCGATATAGCGGGTACCTTAAAGCGGTGCCTTCCTAGCAGGAATGTCTCAGCCACTCTCAGCATAGATGTGGCTTGTGCTTGTACCCCATTTTATCGGGGTTCAGCATGGCCCCTGTAGTTTCCTATCGTCACCCTCACAGTGCTGCCAAAAATGCAACACGGACTCTGTGGGTTTGCAAAGTTGGTTTTAGAAAGCCTAATAAATAGTACTGTATAAACCCAAGCTGTGCAAAATAGTACCATAGACAACGAATGGATTTAAAACATACGACAGAGTTTTAAATGACTTGGGATGCAATTCTGTGCTGGCTTAGGCAGAAAACGACCTACAGCCCTTGGCCTTCCACACCTTCTTGCTGTCTAAACAAGTGCAGAATTGCTTCTTTCTGCCTAGCAAGTCAGGTCTCTGGTTTTTCTGCACGGTTTGCTTTCCCCAGCAGGCACAGTCTTTCCCTCGCTTGTCACTTGCACCTTTGGCCAGAGATGCTGAGGACTGGGGGGCTTCTGCCTGCATAGGCACCTGTTCCAGCCGTTATACTCTAATCTCTTGGCTGGCTGGGCACCCCACTGAACATGACCCTGTTCCGAATGAACACACGTTAGCTTGGATTGCATGAATGTGCAACTGGCCACACAAAAACTCGTACGGGCCTCTGCTTCTGGGGAGGAAGAAGAGAGGGCAGAAAAGAAACTGAGTCGATACCAAGAAGTTGAGGGGGGAACAAGAATCGAGACTGCCCTTTTGGAAGGGCAAGCTTTAATTGCCCTACCTTGGCTTGTCATCCAGGTTACAGAAGGAGACATTGCGCCGTTCAGCTCCGTCAAACTTCAGATTAATTTCATCCCAGCCATCCCGGGGGACGTGCAGGCCGATTTCAAGATCGTCTTCGACAACCCCGACTGCAAGCCCGTGAGTGGTTTTGATTTTCTTTTGCTGTGGTGGGGAGTCCGTCCTGGGGCAGCTGGCCATGGGGACCCGGTGGCCGTTCCTCCAGGTGTGGGAGAAGCTGGTCGCTGGGTGGGGCGAGCTGGCGCTGCTGCTGCTTGTCCCCTGCTCTGCAGGCCTGGGCCAGCGACAGGGCGATTGCGAAGCGCGGTCCACACCTGGGCGGCTCGGGGTGACACGCTTTTCGTGTGCGGAGGCCACTGCGTGTCCAGCGTGGCTTGCCTTTCTCGCACTCCAGTTGTGTTTCAGCGCCACCGCAGTGTCCATGGCGGTGCCGGTGTGGGTGCCCAACCCAGATGTGGACCTCAAGATCTGCATGTACGACAGACTTTATCAGGACTGCATCGTGATTCACAGCAGGTAAGCAACCTGGCAGCACACCTGCTGCTCCCTGGTTAATTCGCATGGACTTCACAGGGATAATATCAACATTACAGCACAGAACCGATGCAGTACAGCGGCTGACATTATTATCGTTATCAGAATTCGCGTTTCCCTACTATTCAGCGGCCAAAGCTCTGTGGATCATACAGAGAAGACTAAAACATTAATGGTTGCAACATAATATAGAAACCTCCAACACACAGTTTAAAATATTCCTCAGGAAACATCACAGGACCGGTTAAAAACTTACCCTGCTGCTGCTGCTGTTGTTACATTTATATCCCACTTTATCTTCCCCTTGCATGGAATCCAAAACAGGCTTTCCAAATCCAACTAGTTTATAATTGAAGCTGGTTTATTTTTTGTTTTGTTTAATTCGTTTATGTATTAGATTTATATCCTGCCTCCTTCCAAAAATGCAAAGCATCTTACAATATTCTCTTGCCAGGGCTTCTCAGTCTTACCCCCACAACAAGAACCCAAATTGCTTAAGTCCCAGAGCCATGTTTCAACCACACTGGCTTTGATGTGTTCACTCGGAGTAACAATATTCAGCATTTAAATATTTTCATCAATCAGTAAGATATTTATGGCCCTCTTTTTTTGCTCAGAGACTCTTCAAAGCAGTTTAGCCATTTAAAACAATATTTAAAGACCGATGACAAAAATAGCACAGAACTCATGTTGAAGAACACCAGTTGAGCAGAAAAGAAAGAGCTTAGAATAACTGGGTTGAATGAGCTATTATTTGCCTCAGTAAGTTTCGGCATTATTTTAATGGCAAGAAAGTGCCTCTTGCTGGTATTTTAGCTTTTGAGACCGATTTATGTCATCTCTTCTGACCAGCAGTTGCTGACTCTTACCTTTCTCTCAGTCCATGAAATCTGCTGGCTAGAAGTTCAGTTGTGCTATTTTTAACTTCCCCTTCTTTCTCATTGCTTTATATTCTATTTAAATACAAGTAAATAACTTTTCTTTCTTTCTTTCTTTCTTTCTTTCTTTCTTTCTTTCTTTCTTTCTTTCTTTCTTTCTTTCTTTCTCTTTTACAATTTCCTTTGGAAGGTGTATATTCTGAACTTCTTACTAAAATTCCACTCCCCTGAGAATCTTCACAGTTGGAGGGAAATGAGCAAAACTGTTATCTCAGAAATTCAGCTTGCACGTCTGACAGGTGTTGAGTTATGTAAGATTTTCCGGGGTTTAGATAACCCCCGCTCCCAGAAAAGGGTTCATAAGTACATCAGTGGAATAACCTCTCCCATTAGACCAATCTGATTCATCTTTCCAGTGCAAATCCCAGGGTTTGGAGGGATTCCTATTTGATAGCTGTCAAGTTCCTTAGCCCAAAACCAGATCTGTGTCACTCAATGTTTGGTTTTTTAAAAAAATATACTTTTAACGGCAGTAAGCATCTTGCACAAGATGAAATCTCTCATGCCAGTTTCAAAAGAACTCCCTGAATGGGACAATGTTTGCGTTGTCTGAAGCACTGGATGTGTTACCTTCTGGAGCCACAACCTTTGATCCGGCAGCACAGTTGACTTAGTCTTTGCGGAGATGGCCTTAGCTCAGTGGGAGGGAACATCCCATGTCAGACCTAGGTGCTTCAGGTAGAGCTGTGAGCACCTGACACCTTGGAGACCCTCTAACAGGACAGATAAAGCTGACCTCAGCGGATCAGTGGCCTGGCCCGGTACAAGGCAGTCTCCCAATTTTGCCAGAATAGGTACGTTCACTCTGTGCCTGTCTTGCAAGCTTCCGCTTCAGCTAAGGAGGCATGATAGTTCCGATCAGCCGCTCCTTCCTTAGGTGAGCCATTGGGTAGAAATGCAAAGTCAGCCCTCTGGGCCAGGCCAGGCCATGCTGAGAGGCACTGCCTGGCCCAGAGTCACCACATGGGACCTGGAACCAGCTCTCCCTTGCCCAGTCCAGTGGCGTGTGCCCCCCACCCCCCCGCCACACTGCATCGCTGCCTCTGACACGGCAAGAGGCGAGGATGCTGCAGTGCACACCACACTGGTCCGACGTCTGAGCTTTGAGTTCCCTCACATGCGTTTCTCCACTGCGGTTGGCAGGGCGTGATTGACTGTGGAGAGAGCCTAAATTCTATGCTTTGCCAGGCTGTGTAGGTGGAGAAGGCAGTGCCGTTTGGCTCTCTGTTGATTTCCATGGGAACGTTCTAACTTTCACGCTCTCTCTCGCTAGCTCGCATTATGCAGTCGCTGGGGAGGAGGGGGAGGAGGGCAGGGGTGTCAGAAGCAGCTTCGAATCTTAATTCCCACCACCCGTTTCTACCTCTCGGCGTTGTGCCGGTGAGAGAGCCCAGCCGACGCACAGGTGGCTCCGGCGTGTCCTGGCAATGCGTTGGCCATGGAGCCAGTCCACCGTCAAGCCCCAGCCGTTCCTGGCGGCGTGAATGAAGCACGGGGGGGGGGGCATCGTCGGGGGCCTGAAGCGAGCCACGCTCTCTCCGCAAAACAGGCTCGGCTCTGCTTCAGCAGCGCAAAGAGAAAAGAGAGCCCAAGTCCCAGCGCAAATCTGTGGGCAGAGCTGGCTGGGGCCAGGCGGCGGTCACTCCTCCTCCTCCGCTCTTCCCGTTTCTCTTCGCAGAGCGACCAGTGCCCTGCGCCTGAAGTTCGACGTTTGCAAGGAACTGGCCAACCACATGGAGCTGCTTCCCAAGACGGGCTACATCCAAGCTCAGTCGTGCTTTAGCGTGCAGCTGAAATTCCTGCCCAGGTAGGCCTCGGCCGGCCAGCCGTCCGTCCCTCCAGGCTTCTTCAACGGGGCCCCGGAAAAGAGAGGCTTCCAAAAGTGTGAAGGCCATCAGCAGCACTTAAAGCTGGGACGCAGCGGAGTTAAAAGCAGAACTGAGCCACTGCACCGGCCCAGCAAAGTTCAAGGGAGTAACGCCTTGCCCGACGGCCAAACGGGGGCTCTGAGAGCACATCCCAGTCCGGGCCCTGCTCCAGGGAAGGGTCAGCAGTGCCTTGGTGGCCAGACCTTGGGGCAGACGGTCTCCCCACATCACAGTCCCAGCTCGGGTTGCCCACACGATCCGAGCAGCTATTCAGGCAAGGAAAGCCCAGCTCAAACATGGCCCTCATAGGACTGACCGCCCATTTGGCTCGGCTCAGGGGGCTGCGTCGCACCCTCCGGCCGGTGGCCTCACCGCTGTACAAGCACTGCCCTCGTTGCAGCAGCTGCTCTGGCAGGACTGCCCACGGGAAGCGGTCTCGCCAAATGCCCTCGGCTTGGCAAATGACCTGCCAGGTGCGGAGATGGCTACCTGAGAATCCAGGTGCAGCACACACACACCTGGTTCAGCAAAGGAGAGGCCTCTGTCTCCCTGGAAGGCCAAGCGCTGCCTGCAGACTCCGGTGCCCATGACCCCCTGTTCAAAGCTCTCAGGGCACAGGCTGGGAAAGAGTCCGCCTGCAGCCCTAAGGAGTGGCCATCCATGGGAACAGAAAGCATGCGCAGGGTGGGCATGTCGTGAGCGGAGCCGGCTGGTGCCGGCGGTCAGACTAGAAGGCCCGGGAGGCCCCTTCAGGCTCGCTCTGCTTCTATGATTCTACGTTTCTAAAACACGGACCGGGATCTGCTCGAGTCTGTGCTTGGCACCGTGGCCGGAATGCGTTCCTGGGAGTCTTCTGCGGCACTTCTGCAGGGATCACCCCGATGCAGCACTCTCCTCACACGGCGGATTCCCGTCCCACTGTGGAGACAGAGCCGGTGCTATTGTGACAGCTCCCCCACCCCCCGCGCTTGCAGTGTTGGGAAACAGTGCTACGGTTTTGCCGAGTGGGTAGAGGCGCATGGCTCGGATTAAAAACGCTAATCTGTGATCTCCATTTTTAAAAAAAAATAGAGTGGGGGAGCGCTTCAGAAGGAGATTTGATGAGATTAAGGCAGTTCTGGCTTGGGAAATGGCCCCGGGCTGGTTCGCTAAACAAAGATCAGTCGAAAGGGGGCTCCTGGGGGGGGGCTCACGAACGTGCTGAGCCCATGCCAGGTGATGGCAAAAGAGGGTGCCCTTTTTAACAGCCGCCCTTAATGCTTTTTGAAGAGTATTCGCTGTGTGGTTGCCTCCACTGAGCTGTTGATGATCACTTTAGGGTTTTGTCTAAGCCGGCCTGGGCTTCCTGACCTTTGGCTGGTGGCATTCAGAAGGCAGGGGTTATGCAGGGCTGAAACCCGTGCTCCCCCTGGCTGGGTGGGCCGCAAGAAGGGGAGTCCTGGTTCAGCTGCACAGCTAAGCCATCGTCGGGCACGCCAGGAGTGCCCCCGTCGAAGCCTTGGTGAACATGTCTCCCCTCCCCGATCCTTCCTACATTGGGAAAGGGGGGCCCCAACCTTCCTGTTCAGAACTCCAGTTCCTCTCCAGAGGTCCAGCAAAGGACAGAAATGTCCCTCTGCCCCGTCTGTCATACAGCAGCCTCCTTAGAAGGAAGCTGTGGAGCTATGATGCCGTTCGGAAGAAAGACAGCCCTGCTCGTCCAGTCACAGCTCTCTCGCAGAAGAGGCCCCTGATCTCCTGGCCCAGTCGGGCCACTGGGCACATGCCCGCTTCCAAGCGGCAGTGGCTCCGAGAAGGACGCCCCTTTGCGGTAAATCGGCTCCAACCCGCAAGCCAGGCTTGTGTTTCTCTGGCCAGCGATCTCTTCACACCCCTTCTCCACGGTGGGTAATCAGACAGACGGGGCCGGTGTGCAAGGTTTTCCTCGCAGCCTGTTCTTATTTTTGTAACTGCGTGGCATCGCCGCCCTATGGATCCTGGCTCAGAGGCACTGGGAGTTAATTAACGTCAATGTCAAGAGGAACAGATTGCCCAAGATGGGTATCTGATCTGTGCTCATGCCTACAGCTGGGCCCGAGGAAGCTTACACACCAATTACCAAGCAACTTTTCCAAGCACTATTTATAGCCCTCAGTATTCTGCTAGAAAAAGAGCAATATATCGGTTAATACTTTCTTAAAATGCTGGTAAATACATCAACTCCCTTGAATAATGCAAGCTGAAAACACTTAGGAGAGCATTAATAGGAATTACGGGCAAAGGCACAGCAGACAAGGGCCTTTAAAGTCCTGCTTTGTAATTCCCACATGGAATTGGTGCTTAAAATGATGCCATTGCACGAAAAGCGGCTGGATTTGCATTTGGACTATCTGCATTGCCGAAAACAACTGCACTGGTTTCTCCACATCATTGGGTTGTGGGGGAGGTGCGGTTGCAGGAGATTTTGGAAGATGTTAGCAATACAGCACTCAGTTCACTCTCCAAAGCACTTTTCTGCATGCTCGTGTGCTGGGCGAAACTCGTTTCAGCCAGACCTCGTGCTGCCAAGATCATAAAGACGTAGCTTGTGGAGGTCCGACTGTTGTTCTTCAGGTGCAGCTTGATCATTAGATATTTGAACTTCAAGAATGAGAGGATCTTCTCAGGGCCCTGCTTCTACCTTGTTATAACCTTTGGCTGCGAACATCATGAGACCCGATCAGTCACGACAAATGAGATGCTCCAAGAGAGGTTTCCAGCTTGTGTCTCTCGTGACCATTTCTGCAAGACCAAGGATCGTCCACCTATGAGGCATCAGCAGGTGAAGTTGCTTTGCAGGAACACCTTGTTCCTCCAGCCTCAGTTGTCCAGTTCCGCACCATGTTGCCAGGCCGTGTTGAATATCGAATACCATTCTGGCGAACAACAGAGGGCTGATCTGGCCACCACCTGCTGAAGCACAGCAGGAACCAAAAGAACATAACGATCTACACAAATATCTAACACGGGTGTGGAACTGTGCTGCTTAGGCCATTGGAGAGAAAACGTCTCATTTCTCAGGGAAGTGGCAGAGATCAACCAGGAGTCCTGGGATCATGGGTCTGACAAAGACATTTGGCCTTGGAACCTTCTACCAAGTCATCTTTAATTTACATAATATACGGTGCAAGTCCAAAGTTGAAAGGACTACCATTTGCTTCCAAGAGTTTGAAGAAGACTTCCGAGGGCCTGTAATTACAGATAACGGTATCATCTACGGTGATATTCTCATCACCGCCCACAGATCCTACCACATGGTGTTTGCTAGACCAGAGAACGTTAGAATCCACCACCTCCCGCGAAACATCTCGGACCGATCCTGTGTGATGATGTGAAAATCAAGGCCACATCCCATAATACCATACGAGACCATGAAATGCACCACTGCAGCCGTGTGAGCAAAAAGTGAACCTGGCATTGCAGATAAGCAGCTGAACAGTGGGGCCGTCCTGAAGTCCTTGAGAAGACCCTACAATCTCCTTGGGTCTTTCCAGTCCGATTTGGCCTAACGGATGTGCTCAAAATTTGTCAAATGCCTTCAAGACGTGCTGTGTGAGGACACGTCCACCCAGCAGCATAACTGCTTCGCAGCTGAACCGTGCCTCCATGACGGGAACATTCAGCATTTCTCATTTAGTCTGTTTTACCTCGGTACTTGGGCCAGGCTTAGCTCTGGATTTTCCTGCTTCACAAGTTGATCAGCCTCGGGGGCCCGGTCACCCTGGAGTGGCCGGGGGGTGGGGGTCTCCATCTATACTTTCTGCTTCACCCAAGGACCTTCCCGTGAAACCGAGATTCCTGCCATAATAACCTGTATTGTCCGCAGCCGCTCCGGGGGTGTGGTGGGGACTGTCACTGTCCCTTCAAGCGACGGGTGAGCCTGGCCTCAGGATCAAGAGGGAGGCTGCCCTTCGGTCTCCAAGTCCCTCCACTTCCGGTCTTCTGCTGGGTCTTGAAGGGCTCATCCCAGCCGCCTCCAGCTGCAAAGGCTGGCTAAGCTGGCCCATGCCTCAGCGCTCCTCCACTTCTAGGGCAGCCCCTTGGTCGGATCCCTCCACTCCCCCCTGCCTGCCAGCTCCCCCTTCTCCCACCAAGCTCTTTCCCGTTGGCTGTCAAGTCTGAGCTCTGCTCCTGGGCCTTCTCCACCTGGTGCCTTACCTGGGTTACTGGTACCCTCTCCCTTGACCACTACTTCAGGCTCTTTCCCTGAACATGGGTCTCTCTTGCAGTCTTGTTTGCTAGTCATCGGCCACAGTACCTGGTTTTCTGTATTCAGGTACCCAGAGGAAAGCTGCGTTGTAGGAATGAAGGACAATATTGTCCTCTGGACTTCTCTTCAAAGGAAAGATTGTTCTGATGTTCTTCCGCTCAGGAATCACCAACGCCAAAGGTTTTCACTAGGAAAGGGTTTAAATGCAGTTTCCATCTGATCTCAACACTTTCCTGTTTTAGGCATTCTCTTCCGGAAGATGCAGCAAAGTACTTCGATGAGAAAACTGGTGTTCTGGAAGTCCCAATGCTGATAACAGTTTCGGATCAGGTCAGTGGTGCGAATTTCAGCTGCTCCCTGTGGGTGAGCACCGGAAAAGTGCTCACAGGGTCAGTTCCATTGTCTTGACCCGGTGACTGTTACGTTTTTCCTGATATTCAACCGAAATTTGTCTTCATGTAAGCCTGTTATTTCATGCCTTACGGTCTTAAATGACAGAGGACTGCTTCACAGCGCTCTCTCAGGCTCTGTCTCCTTGTAGTCGAGTTATCAAGCGGTAATTCTTGTTAATTGTTGTTATTACGTCTAGCCTGTGGTAATCATTCTGAATTGTGTTGCTGTCTTCTAAGGCAAAAAGCAGAAACAACTCTGTGTCTTCTGGCCATTGGACATATGTTTCTTTCACCTCTTCCTCTGAGTTATTAAGAAAAATATTGAAGAGTACAGGGCCCTAGACCAAGCCGAGAGGCAACCAATTCAGTATCTCCTCCTAGTTTGATGAGGAGCCATTGACAAGCGTGGATGGATGCCATATATATCCCTCAATTCCCCCAAGGAACTCAAGGCAATATACCTGGTGTTCCCCACTGGATCCTCACAAGAAATCCCATGAGGCAGGTTAAGCTGCAGGATTAGTGACGGCCACAGGTCACCCACGGATCGGAACCTGGGCCCCCTCAGTCCCTCCCTGTACTGCATCACACCGGCTCATTTTTCTGTTTCAGAGCAAGCCTGTTGAGTTTACGGTCCATGCGATCATCACCACCTCGGATCTGGAGATCAGCCCAGCAGAACTGGATTTCGGCTACTGCTCCGTCTATGAAGCTGTCCGGACAAAAATCACCATAACCAACAAAGCCATGCTGCCCCAGGAGTTTGGTTTTGTCGGACCCCCAGCGGTAGGCTGCTGCTTTTCATTCTGTAGCACAGGTGTCTCCCTCATGGTTTAGCACAGGTGTCTCCCTCAAGGTTTAGCACAGGTGTATCCCTCGAGGTTTGCTATCAAAGAGAGAATTGTGTCCAGTAGTGTTTCACAATTTAATTTATCAGTTAAAAGTATCCATTTCTACTCGTCATGGCAGAATGGTAAGGAGGTAAACGTCGCCAAAACACTTTCAGGCGTGCTTTTTATTGCTGTGTGGGTTAGGAACTTGCCTATTTTGAACATGTGGCTTCAGAAGCAGAATTCTGTGTTTAGTACTAGATTCAAGATGGCACTCTTTCAAAAGTTCAGCAAATGCACTGACCTTGTTCTGACAATATGTGTAGACAAGGATCAAATTAATCTCTGCTCCACACAGTAGTAAGATCGCATGCTCTCGTTCATTCCCTTTGACAGGTTATACGGCTTATCTGGAGTTTTTTGTTTTTCACCTCTTTGTATATACACGTTCATTTATTTTTTTTCCATTTATTGTTTTGGAAAGTTTGTAGAAATTCAGCCCAATGATGGATTCGGAATCCTCCTGCCACTTGAAAGCTTGGATTTGGATGTAATCTTCAAAGCCAAGGAGGCAAAGGAATACAGCTTTCAGCTAACTTGCAAGACGGAGATCAACAGGTATGTGCAGGATCTGGGCCAGTGGGTGTTTTCACAATGAGGTAGTGACTGGATTTGGTCGCAGCGTCCAAGGTTTGTTAGGCAAAATGATTTAATGGAATCATAGTGTCCATGTTTGATGCAGGAAAATATTTATTATTCATTTATTTATTTGGAATTCTTGTATGCCGTCCCATTCGCATAAGCCTCAGGGCGGTTTCCAACACATAAATAAATACCTATACAAATACATAAAAAACTGGAAACATTCTGGCATAATAATTTAAAACCAATAAATAAAATCAGCAATTATTAAAATAACGTTTAAATAAAAAGGTCTTGGCCTGGCGCCGAAAAACAAATAACGACGGTGCCAGGCGGACCTCTCTGGGGAGCGCATTCCATAGGTGGGGCGCCACCGCAGAGAAGGCCCTCCTCCGGGTACTCACCCTCCTAATATCCTTCACGGAGGGCTCCCGGAGATGGGCCTCTGCTGCTGATCTCAAGGGATTGGAGGGCAAATATGGATGCAGGCGCTCCTTTAGATAACCAGAAGAAATTCAGAACTAGAATAACCCCTACAGGTAACTGCCTTCAACTTCCACCCTGGTAAATTATCATTAATTAATTTCTTTTCTGTACTGCTACATATCTGAAACTCTGAGCAGCTCATGACATAAATGTGGATACAATGATGAAAATAGATGTATTTAGTTTTATTTATTATTACAGCGATACTCTGGTTTTTTTCCCCTTTGCAAGAAACCCCCATAATAGCTTACAGGGTCCCCTCTGGTCCATTTTATCCTCACAACACCCCTGTGAGGTAGGTTAGGCTGGTCCAGAGTCACCCAGAAGGTTTCTTGAGCAAGAGAAGACTAGAACCTGGATTGATACAAATACATAAGCACTACAGTACAGCATAAATTCCAAAGCATACAATTGAAAATGGTTCAAACAACCAAAGCGATTTCAATGAAAAACAGACCTGTTAAAACAGCTGGGACCATCCAAGGCTCTTGGGTAGAGGTCAGGCTTAACTTGTGGCCAAAAAGGTGGTGTTAGCACAGGACGAGCCTCAGTAGGGGAAATCATTTAATAACTTGGGGGGCTACCAGTAAGGAGCCCCCCTTCCTTGTTGCCTCCCTCGGAGGTAGCTTGGAGGAAGACCTCGGACAGAGCTTGTAGTGTCTGGACAGAATGAAATCAGGAAAGGTTTTCCAAGGGGTATTGTGGGCCCAAGCTGTGTGGGACTTTATATGTTAGAAGCAGCCAGTGCAAACGGGCCAGAATTGACCCCATGTATTTGGACTTTCTGGTCCGGGTCGTTCTCCGGCTGCTGCATTTTGTGCCCGCTGCAGCTTAAAGGGCATTAAGTCATTCCTAATGTTCCATCTCCATCTGTCCTCCTGCAATTCAACTTACGAGAACTAGCCCTGCTCTCCAGCGCAGCAGATCATAAACCTTTGCCCTCTTCTAGTTGCCTCCAGTTCACCCTTCCCGGTTTGCAGATTGCCCTCTGCCTCTGACACTCCTGCCCAGACCCTCAGACAACACCCAGTTAGCCAGGAAACCCAACTGGGGACCATGCGGGTGGGAAATCTGTCAGGCTCCCACAGGGGAACCATCCCTGGAAGGCTGAATCGGGCCATTTCCCTTCCTGCTGCTCCTCTTGCCCGTTGCCCCGTTCCCCAACCTCCTACTTTATCTTTCAAAGGCAAAACCCGAACTGAGAATCCTACCTTTGATTCTAAGTACCTCGTTTTTCTTGGAGTGCATCTTAGCGCTAACTTGGCTATATACACGTCTGAGTGCCCCTAAGTACATCGGCAGCCAAGCTGCAGTGTAGATTCAAAGGATTCCACTCCATCTCCCATCATCAAGTTTTCACATTCTTTTTAATTCTGGGGGCTGCCCGCAAACTTCAGATGCACAGTGGGCATATCCGGCTGCTTGGGGACTGGGGCGATGGATACCAGACGCGTAACGAGGTCTATTTCAGGGCCTGGCAAGAGGCTGAGCCGTGTGCTGTGACCCTTTCAGCCCTGTTTCCATTTTTAGGCAGTTCAAGCTGTCGTGCAAGGCGGTGGGAGTCCACCCTCCTCTCCAGCTCTCTCATTCCTTGGTGCAGTTTTCCGCCACCGCTCTGAACGACGTGTCAACAGCAACGCTCTTTGTCATCAACTCGCACGTCAGCCTCAGTCAGTTCAATCACGCTGGCCCGAGGATCGGCAGCGGGGAGGTGGCCCCCGTCGGGCCGACTTCCTTCCAGTTTCTGGTTCCTGAAGACGCACCCATCACGATCATGCCGTGTGTCGGAACTGTCCTGCCCGGGAAGGTAAACATTCCTCGCCTGTGTCAAAGCCCCAACTGCAAACAACTTCAGTTCTCGAAGGCGCACCGAAGCCCATTGCAAGTTTCCAACAGAATCAAATCTGGGTGCACAAATTGCTTTAACCACACTTGGGGCCGGTGGGGGGGCAAGCCCTCCTTTTTCTGCATCAGGTACAGTTCAGGTTTTCCACTAAAGAAAGCCCATCCTGCAAGCATTGGCACCGGAAGGCATCACGGTGAGGAAATGGATCGGCCTGATTTGCTCGTCCAAACTGTATTCCTTGGGGATCTGGAGCGAGGCAATGAAATGACAGGCCGTGCGGGGGCCCAGATACGGGGTGCTCTGAGGAAGAACGGGGGGTACACTTACAGGAGCGCAGCTGCAGGTTAGACCCTTGCAGGTCGCACGTTACATGCTCAGCATCTCCAGCTGGAAGGAGCAGGTTGCAGTTCACGGGAAATGCCTCCTGCCCACCCCAGAGCAAGAGGAAACCTTGCTAAATCAGCAAGAGCCGAGAAGGAAACTTTTCCTCTTCCATGTTCTGGGAGGAAAAGGGTGTCTAGCCTAGGACTGGGGGGGTGTTGGGAGGCCAGGGCCTGGCTTAACAACTTTGCCGGCAAGCCAGGGCAGGCTTGAGAATGTGGGTCAGGGAGCGGGAGGCAGGGCCAGAAGGGGTGGGGGGTGGATGTTGCTAGCCGAGGAATCTGGACCCGGGCCCATGCCAGAGGAAACACTGCGCAGCACCGCATGATGCAAGGTCCCCTTGCGGGCACACACAGTTTAACGTTCTCCATTCACGTGGCAGCTGCACAGCTTCCGTGGGAGAGCCCACCCATGGCCGGCCAGCGTGTCGCCATGGACTGGCACGACCAGACCATTCCTCGGCACCTCCTTTGCCGCTGCGTGCAGTGGTTTTGCGCCTGTCCTCTCCATGGTGCAGAACGTAAACCTCCCCATTCAGGAGCAGTCTACCCCGGAATATTGCATACTGTGGGGCGAGGCGGGGCGGGTGGAAGGATACTTTCATGCCTTCCTTTTAGGGAGTTGAGAGGCCTCTGGGTGATCACTAATGGAAACAATGCTGGCTTAGATGGACTTCGGGGCCGCTCCAGCAGGCCGCAGCTTCTGTACCCCAGCAAAAATAGTTATTCAGCTGGGAATTGTGTGCCCTCTGCACAAGAGCACTTGGACTCTCTTTGCTCCAAGCTGGCTGTACTTGCTCTTTCTTTCTCTTGACGGCTGTTTTCCGACTCCAGAAATGCTTGATCGAAGTGTCCTTCCGCCCGGTGTTGTGCGATCAGCTGATCCGGCTGGAGGCTGTCAACTTGCTGTGCCAGGCTGCCGAAAGCAAGGCGCTGGTGGAAAAGAAGGCCCGGGAGCTGGAGCTGCAGGTGCGTGAGGGCACGATCCACGCCTCCGAGGCGTTGCCTGTTGCACAGAACATCTGGCGTAGGCATGGAAATGCAGCCCGAGGAGGCAACGGGGGAGGCTCATTTGCACAGCCGTTTCGTAGGCTAATTTAGATGCAAAGATGCAGTGTGGAAATAATTATTATACTTTAGAGAGGAATACAGTACATGGGAGATGGTGACCTGCGTGGCTGCCCGCTTTGCCGGCCCGGCACTGTCGAGAGCCGACTTCCGTGTTGGTCTGGTGACTCTCCCTCTTTCGTCACGCTTGAATCGGGCAGCCTTGCATGCAGAGGGCTCCTTCGAAGGACCTCTGGCCCGGCCCTTCGGCGATCCTGCGGAGAGTGGGCCGCAGAGACAGCCCTCTGCTTGGAGGGCTCCAGCAGAGCGAGCGCGGCTGGGCGGTTTTGCTGACCCCTCTCTCTCTCTCTCTCTCTCCACGGCAGAGGAAGAAAGAGGAGGCCATGGCAGGTCGGAAAGATGGCAAGAAGCTGGCAAGCATCTCATTCCTGGGTCAGCTCTCCAAGGACAAGCATGGCAACAAGCTGTTTGAGCCCCCCAGCCCAGAAGACATATGTCCAGAGTGAGTATGGCAAACTGGGCAGGGAGACCTTGCCTGTGTCTCCATCGGTTGTTGCCGAGATGAGTAGCGCAATGACAGGGAGAGCATTCCATTTCTTGTGCCCAGGAAGCAATCGTCACAGTGCCCCTCCGCCAGAAAAAGATGCCCCGGTGATGTCGGGGGGCGGAATTTTAGAGGGAGGGGCTCTGGCCCACCTTCCAGTGCCGCAGGATGCTCCAGAGGGCGAGCAGGACCCGGGAACAGCCCACACCTGCTCTGCAAACATTTAAAAGTGCCGCCTGGCAAGCGTTGCAGAGTCTCAGGATGGCTGTGATATTCCTCAGACTCCCTTGCCGGAATTAATGGCTCTTTCCTCTCCTGGACATTCCAAAGGCATGTATTCCACCTTCAGCTGTGCTGCTCCCGGATCATGTCAACCTGGTTTGGTTCAGCGTATCATTATTTTGCAGTAGCCCGAAGTGTGAGAGTCTGTGAAGGCCGCCAGCTGCCTGGGCTTTCAGGCACGTCGGTCCCTCGCTTTCCTGAGCCAGGCGCTTCCTGCTCTTCGCAAGTCTGCACAGAGCATTCGTTATCCTCAGCACGTCAATCCGGGATTGTCTCTCTGGGCTCCTTCCAAACAAGCCGGGCTTAATTCTGCAGGGCTTTGAAACACCTGCTGCCTCCCCAGCTGTAAAAACAAGGGGCTTTGTGATTAAAGCATACCAAGGGGCTGGGAGTGTCTCCGAGGCTTCCCTTTTGGATAAGCAGGGGCTCCGACTGCCAGTTCCAGTGCGATGTGTTCCGTATTAAAGCTTCTAATTCCTGTGCCACAGAGAAGCAAAAGAATTATCCATCCCGCTTGCATCCGTCTCCCAGCCACAGCTTAGGCTCTGCCACAGATTCTTCCTCACATTCCCTTTGGTTCTGTGAATGCTTAGTCCATAGCCCAAGAGGTCCTGTGCCAGAGAGCTGCCCTGCCTTGGTCTCTGATGCTTTTATTTTCAAGCGGCCCGTAGCTTCCAGAGCTCCAGAACCAAGCTTTCTCATTCTGCTTTCCCCAAAAAACAGAAACCATGCTGCAGCTTGTCCTCTGGATTCCTTTTCCCCATCGAGATCTTCTCCAACAGGTCTTCCTGCTGCTTTAACTCTCTCTTATCCAAACCCTCTTGTGACAATCACCTTTCTCTTACCCATGTTTTGCATCTAATACGAGAAAGTGGAATATTGCCCAGAACCCCAGCTGAGATAGGAATGGCCCCGAGTTGCATTCTGCCCCCCTCAAATACACGTGCGTCTACACCTTGAGATTTTTTTCATCCCAATGACAAAGGGGGCATTTAGATTAGAGCAAGAGCTGCCAGCAACCTTCTCCCAGTGAAAACGAAATGGGATGGGAAGAGTAACCTGGGGAACCCGAATTTCCAACTCAGGGCCCTTGACTGGCTGCTTATGCCCAGGTGAGTGGGCATAGCATCAAACGTGTGCCAAACAGCATCTGTGGAATAAGAGAGATCCACGCAACCCTGCTTTGCCTCATTTCTACCAGTGGCCAAATTTACTTTTTCTTCTGGTGCCATTTTGAGTCACCTGTTGGCACCCAATGATATCTACGTGGTACTTTTGAGGGTGAAACCTGCCAGATGCATGCATCTCCTGTTGCCTGCCCGCCCGCCCACCTGCCCCCACTGCTAGCCTTCAGTGAGACAGACTTCCCCTGACTATGGAAGTTCCATTTTGCAACCAGGGCTGACAACTCTGAGTTGATTTTTCCTCTGTGGAAAACGTGTCGGATTCCAAACCCTGACCGCTTGCGAGCCGCTTTGCAATGCTTTCCGGCAGTCCTCTCCCTCCTCTTGTGTCCCTCTCTAGTTCTGAGGAGTACATCGCGGCTCACCTCTCTCTGGTCCGGAGCTTCAGCGGCCGATTTGACAAATACGTCATCCCTTGTTTTGTGGCCAGCGGTGATATAGATGAGAAGAAAGGGGCAGAAAACCTTCAGTACAGGTACTGTGAACATGGGGCAGCATCAGACCCTACGTGGCTACGGTCCCCGGGGGCCAGTGAAACAAGTCTTGTTCTTTGCGGTCTGCGTGGTCTGAGAAGCAACACCGTGTCCTTCAACATCACTCTGGCTACATCTGCAGTTGCTAAAATTAGCAAGTCGTCTGTATCCCAGTTGCAAGAGACACAGACTGGTTTGCGTCACAACATAATTAGAACCTAGTCGTACTTTTGCGTGTTCTTTGCCACACTCAGTTCCACGTTTTCCACGCACAGTTGTGGGTTTCGGTGCCTAGGTGGTGAGGAGGAGGGCGAGCGAGCAGGGGAGGCTCCGCGTTATCTCAGCCACGCTGTGTGAACATTTTGCAGGCATCGACATGAGCCTCATCCTCTGCTTTTCTACAAGGGTCAATTATGTAGCCTCGAGGGATTAAATGAGTGTGCGGTGACTCAGCTCCACTTCCGTTCCCGGCCCTCCAAGGTCTCCAAGAAGCCATTCTCAGTCTTAGCCCCATGTGCAACTCAGGACAAATTATACCGGCTGTGGGAGTTGATGCTATTTATTTATGAAGCACCTAATTGCCCAGAGATTGAGGAAACAGTGGTCCCTTAGCTGACAATCGAATCAATGCCATTCCAAAAGAAAGGAGCACAGAGCAAAAAGCCTGCAAATTCACACACGAGAGGCTCTGTTCTAGGCCTGTTGGGGGAACTAGAACAGAGTGGAACTTTTCCCTGTCTGAACACACATAGGATTGCTCCTTACCTGGATGTACCAGTTCCTGGGGGTCGGATGGAATATAATCAGGTACGAAGTCGGGGTGGTATTGATGCTTGTAGGTGATAGAGGGGTGGGCACTGGGACATTCCGTGGGCCCCAGGAGTGTCAAATGCCCGGGACAAGAACCCTAATCCTATTCTCCCTTACACCAACCCCCACAGCCCCCCCACACCTCTTGTTTTCACTGCTGTTCACCCTGGGGTTGGGGGAACTCCCTCTGGAGTTTTTAAACTGTCAAACAATGCTCTGTTTTTAATAATTAGCCTTTTCCTCCAATACATGCACTGAAGGGGAGCTAGGGTTTAGAGCAGTAGCTTCCTGTCCCCAGAATCCATCCCCGCACCCAAAACCTGACTCCTCCTAGCCAGTCCTTGCACGACTGCCAAAGTACATCACACTGCATAGCTCTGGCCGTACGCAAACAAGCGTGCTCACATTTATTTATATTTCATTGCACCTGCAGCCCTTATAATACCTTGTACCTTGAGCTCCACTGCCCTGCCGTGGCCCCTGCTGTGGTCGTGGTGTCAAACAACGGGAAAACCGTGTTCAACTTCGGCGACGTCGCCATCGGTACGGGACTCTTTGCAAGTGCTCTCCTCGCGCTCGGTAGCCTTTGTTCCTGGGTAAAGGTTAGCCTCCTCCTGGGTTTCTACTTGAAACTAAAACCCCCAACTCATAACATTCTTTCTCCTCCTTGTAAGTACGTGGAATTTCACAGGAGCTGAATGTTTTAAATTCTTCCCATGGTGACGCTCGTCTCTGCCACAAACTCATTGGGTGCCTCTCCCCCTTGGTCCTTATCTCTCCTTCTACAAAATTAAGAACAATAGTACTGATGGACTCGACAGTCATTGTGAGAGTTGCGGCTTTCTCACACACGTGAAGCCCTTCGGACATTGGGAAGCTCAATCCTCACGGAACTGAGTGTTTCCCACCGCAGGGGTTCAGAAGAAGGGTTTGTCCTCTCCTGGTCCAGTCGTCGAGGCTCTGGGGTGAAGGTCCATTCAGGGCTCCTCGTTTGCTTTAAGCAAGTAGAAACAAACGCTAGTTGCTGACTTGTGGGAGAACAAACTAAGCTGAGATGCTGGGGTGGCGTGTTTGGGATCTTCGGTCCTCAGTTCTGGCCCACCGTTCCTGACTGTGGGGACCGTGCGCTGCGACGTCTGTTGTCCTCCAACCTGAAGGACATGAAATGTTGAGCAGCCGAGGGGGGCGCTGCCCATTTTCGTCCTTGGGAGCATCCATTATTGGGAGAATCCTTTATTCTTCTCTGCTGGAAGAATCCTTCCTTTTCTGAAGCCGTGTAGGCACAACTTCCGGGTGTTTTATTTTCAAAAACGATCTTCCACTGGCTGTATTTATCTGGCTATTGATGACAAATATGGAACTCTCTCATCCTGCAGGGCACAGAATTAAAAAAGAAGTCAAGATTCAGAATATAACTCAAGAACAACTAACAGTATCCTTTAACGGAATTGTTTCTTCTCTTCTCTCAAATCCATTGCTCAATGGAGGCATCTTCATGTCTCCATCAGCTGGATTCTTAATAGAGCCTTCACACGGCCACTCTCTCCCATCAAGCATTAAATATTTCAGAATACTGAAATACGATGGATATTCCAGAATAAAACTGTGGCACCCACCTCCAATTCTGTTGGCACGGACATGGATTGTGGTGTCCATGATGGGAGTACCAAGACTAACAAATTGAATGGATCTGATACCTGCTTTTAATGAGCGTCAGTGGGGCATTGTGGGATAGGAGACATGGGAGCAGCGTGCAGCACAGGTCACAGTTCTTTTGCTGCTGCTCTATGCCGCCCCCACCTTACCTGCCGCCCAGCCCATAAGCCGGATACCTGAAGGAACACCACCTTCCCCATGTGCCAGCCCTCCGCTTGAGCTCTGAGGCAGAGGTCCTGCTCTGGGAGCCCTCCTTGAATGGAATCAGGAGGGCAGCTACTTGGAGGAGGGCCTTTTCGGTGGTGGCACCCCGTACACGCTCCCCAGGAGCTTCGCCTGGCGCCGTCACTCGATTCTTTTCGGCACCAGGCAAAGACCTTCTATTCTCCCAATATTTCAACAGTCGGTTGGTTTTATCCTTGTTTTTATCATTCTCTGTTGGATGCAGTGTGCTGTCTGTCATTGTTATGAGTGCTTTGTTTTTGGTTTTGTGCTTTTTGTAAGCCGTCTAGAGACTTCTGGTATTGGGGTGGCACACCAAACAAAAATTAAATAAGGCTGGGGAGAGCGAGAGTCAGTGTGGCGAGGTTCCCAGGGGGCCACTAGCTCGAACCTGGCTGCCAGCCTTGCTCCATCAGACAGCCCTCTTGCCGTGTGGGCAGTGAAGAACCGGCGACCAAGCTAAGCCCAGGTGTGGGTGGCTGCCATCTCTCCCCCGTCACAGCCTGCTGGGTTCCCCTGGTACCCACGAGAGGAAGCACGTCATAACCTGATCCACAGATTTCTGGAACTGCCCCTCAGTAGCAGATTGCCATGGTCCTCTCCTCTCCTCTCCGAAATGGTTGCTTTGGTTACCACGAAGCTTGTGATTCCTTGAGCCACCTTTTCCAGCTGGGATTCTCCCTCCTGAATCCCTTCGGACCCTTCCTGTTGGTGAATCCCATTCGTACCCTTAGAGAAGAATCCTGCAATCTTATAATCTCATTCTGTCCAGAGGAGAAAAAGTGGGTGAGTCTGTAAGCAAGGAATTAATGGAGATGATTTCACGGATTCCCAGTTTTTCCTTCAAGGATCTTGGGGAGGCACATCCGGGGTCCCTCCAGTGTCCCTATTCCATCTGCGGGATCCAGGAAAAGTACTTACATGTATGATTGTAAGTCCTAGAGGTCCTGCAGTGGATGCAGACAGGAGACAAATGTTTTAAATATATAAATATTTAAAGTGGTGCCCTCCATTGCAATTTGATATATTCGCCCCATGGGCTGGCCTATAGACACTTAGCGTGGGCAGGCCAAAGGTGTCTGCCTATATTGGACATGTTAACTCTCTGCACGTGCAGAACAATGCACTCGCGAAGTCACATGGAAAGAGAAGAGCCCAGCTCAGCACGGCCTCATCTGTTCTTGGCCGGTGGCAGGTTTCCAGGGTCGGAGGCAGGGAAAGGTCCTTCCACTTACCCACTTCCCAGCTGAGCAGCAAAGCAACCTGCCTCCAATGGGGCACAGCAACAACTCTCGGAATTGCTGAGCGACAGTCGATGGTGTAGATTGGCAGAGAAAACAGTCCCTGTGCAGCCTTCGTAGTAGAGACTCCCAAACATTGGGACAATGCCCTGGACCCGGCCTTTATGGAGACGCTCACAAGGCCCACACGGGCTGTAGCAATGCCGCAAGGGGAACTCTTGTGTGTGTTCTTACTAAGAAAGTTTCCTCCATAGTTCTTTGAAACACTGGAAATCAAAAGCGAGAAAGCGACCCTCACCCTGACCTTGATCGGTCAGGGAGTGATCCCCTCCATCACCTGCTCCATCGAAGGAGACGTGTTCAACATGGGATATGTGGTTGCCAAGGAAATGGCCACTGCCACCTTCAAGGTAACGCAGAATCTCACTGTCGGGACGGGGCCGGGCGCCGTGTCCGAACTGAGCTGCCAGGAGGAGTGTGCTGCTCATTCCGTACCATTCAGGTTCTGGACGTGTTAGAAGTTCAAAGAGGTGGGACAGATCCATGGGAGTTCGTTGGCTTTGTTCACAGGGAAATCTCATCACAAGATGAAACATCTTTAATAATCAGTGGTTGAGCCATACCTATTTTGAATCCTGCCTCTGCCATGAGCTGATTGGGTAGCCTCACTCCTTCCCTCCTTCGTCTCTCTCTCCCTCTCTCCCTCTCCTTCCCCTTCCCCTTCCCCACCCCTCTCAAAATCCTTTTTTCCTTCCTTCTCTCCTTCTTTCCTTCCCCTTCCTTCTCTCTTTCTCTCTCTCTCTCTCTTTACTTCCCCTTCCCTCTCTCTCTCTCTCTCAAAATCCTTCCTTCCTTCCTTCCTTCCTTCCTTCCCTCTCCCTCTCTCAAAATCCTTCCTTCCTTCCTTCCCTCCCTCTCCGCCCCGCCTCTGAGAGTTGTAAGGGCTGCAGTGAACTGATGCCTGTGAAGTGCTCTGGATACTCGAAAGTGCCACGCAAGGCAGCTGCTGCTAAGACGGCCTGCTCGGACCGGAGAGGAAGGAGCCACACCCTGCAAGAAGAGGTGAGTGAGTGAGTGCGGCCGGCCCGGCGTCTGACTCTGCCCTTCGGTGGCCTTGCAGATCGAGAACACGTCGCCCCTGCCCCTGACATTCACCATCCACCTGGAGTCGCTCTCGCCGAACCGAGACCAGGAACAGCAGGCGCTCCCCCCATTCCTCACGTCTCGCAGGAAAACGAACTTAGTGGGTAAGTAGTGGCTCTGTCGGTTCTGAATCCGCGGCGGCACCACGGGCGGTTCGGGGCTTCCCTGAGGCACCCCCCCGTTGAGCGAGGTCCACGTGTTTCGAATGAGTGGTCCAGAGACCATATACGATGGAGAACCAGACTCTTCCGCACAGGCTGCAAGGGACTTCTTCCCTTCCATGCTTGGACAGGCCAGAAGGCAGTGGAGAGCAAGGGGTGGGGAGCCGCTTTCCAGGGTGGGTGGGATCAAAGGCGAGGGGGCGGGGCCAAAACGCCAGCCTGCAGCTAAGCCTTAGGAGAGACGTCCTGACGGGAGGAAAAGCTGCCGAGGCTGGGAGGACATCAGAGAGCCCATGGCTACGTGGAAAGGGGGTGACAGCGGGGAAGGAAGCGTGGGCACCCAGCATGGCCCGGGGGGTCCGACTGGGACTCCGAGAGGGTCAGATTCCGGACCCAGAGGTCCAGGGAGGAAACTTGATGTCACGAAACAGCCGAAAACAAACGCATTAAAATAGCTTTGCGACGGGGGACTGGGACAGGGGCAGCCAGCGAAGATGCCCCCCTTGCCAGCATGCATGCCCCAGGCAGGCGTCTGGGGTCGCTGGGCCTCCTCTTGTGCTGCTCCCGTTCCGTGGCAGCTGGGCTCTGGGGGAAGGTGTGCCATGCCTGGCGTGTCCTCCCGCAGGCGCTCATCTCATCCCGTCCCGTTCCCAGGCACACAGAACTACAGCGGCCTGAGCGTGTTCAGCGTCACCCCCATGGAAGGCACCATCGGCCTCGGGAAGGCCCAGGAGTTCACCGTCACCTTCAGCCCCGACCACGAGAGCCTCTACTATTCCGACTGCATTCGGGTCCTGCTCTTCGGCAAGGTGAGCCCAAACCGAGGCCTGTTAGGCGAAGAACTGCGCTCCACCTGGGCATCTGGGCAGGATGCGGCCCTCCGGGCTTGGAGCTCCCTCCCAGGGCACCCCGATGGCACACCAGCTTTACCTCTTCCTTTCAGTCTGGTCCCCAAACCCGACTTTTATGGGAAGCCCTTGATCATCCTCCCCAACCGAAATGAGGCCGAAGTGTAAGTTTTGAGCACTTGCCAGCTCAGCGGTGCTGTAGTGGAACCAAGGCTCATGGGGACACAGTGCCAGCACTTCGCTTTTAGTGGGGATGCCAACACCCATCACCCTGCTCAGGCTTCCCCGTCCCCTGACCTCTGGCGAGTCCACGAAGGAGAGCCCTCCAAAGCATCCTCCTCAAGAGCCCCGCTGGGGCTTCCTTGATGGGGCTTCCTTGATGGAGTCAACCCAACTCCAAGCTGGTCTTCCTCCTCCTCCTCTTCCTCCTCCAACTTTCCCTAGTGCAATTCTCTTCTCCATGGCGTCTTGCCTTCTCTTGAGGCCCCCAAAGTACGACAGCTTCAGGTTCATCATGGAGTAGAAGACATCACAGGGACGGGTCATGGAAAATAAATAGATCCAAGTCCCTATACTTGTGGCGAGCAAGAACGGGCACCAAAGAAGCAGCTTTGGAGAGGATTCAAGGGGCGGCCGGTGCCGGCTGAACTGACCTGGCGGGCCGTCCTGTGTCTGATACGGATCTGTATTTGTTTATATCCAGACTGTATCTATTTATTCCCATGCTCCTCCTGTCTTCCTCTCCATTTTCCATTTAAACTGCAAGCCCTTTGGGGCAGCATGCTTATTGACTAATTAAAAGTATCTACCACAGTAACGGGAAAGGGGAGGACACATGGGCGCTTTCCCTACTTCCCTCCCTCTCTCCCCAGTTTACTCGCAGACACACCTCCCGAGAGGATGAGGAAAGCCAAGCTCACAATTCTACACCCAGGAAGGTATCTCAGACTGCAGCCATTTGCCTGGGGCTACTAGAGCTTCCGGCTGTATTTCCTAAAACCAAAATTCAGGAAGGTCATTGTTTAGTGTCAGAGGATGTACTTCGCATGCAGAAGGTTCTGGCATCTTCCATGAAAAGGGTGAAGGACCCTTCTCTGCTGAGACCCCGAGGAGTTGCTGCCCGGGGTGTCAAGACGGGGCTGGATAGACAATGAGCTGAACTCCCGCTGTTCTGCCTACGCTTGCCACGAATAAACCAAGACCGTGTGCTTGGGTTGCCATCTAGTGTCTGCCATGCCGAAGCGCACGGCACAGCCAAGTGGACCTGCAGTGAACGAGACGCTTCCGTCTCCAGATCCACCCAAACCAGAAGAGCCCAGAACTCCGGCTGGGCCTCCCGCTGCTGAGTATTGCCAGCTGGCAGGGAGCTTAGCTGCCCAGAGTTGCTTCTTCCGTCCCTTCAAAAAGAACTCTGGGCAGTGGCAAAAAGGCAGGGTGATCTTCAGGCTGTGTTAAATTCCTTCTAGGAAGTCATCCGCGTGATCCAGCTGAAAGGGGCAGCCAGGAATCACATGATGTTTGTGGAAGGAGGCGAGCCGTTGGACGTGTCCATAGAATCGCTGGCCGTGACGACGTCTCTGTCGGAAGAGCTGGCCAAAGCAGGTAACGGAGCCTTGAAACTGCCGCTTGTACATGTTGCTCCGCAAGCAAAAGAGGCACAGCGCTGGGTTCTTGTGGGCCGAGGCAAGACTGGGCATGTCGCCTTCACGCAGGGACCCAGTCCAAAAGCGTCTCAAGGCCCAGAGGGGCCTTGCTTTGAAGTCTCCCTGCAGCGGAGAAGTAGCTCAACTTGACAGGACTTTCAAGTCGGGACTATCAGACAAAGCAGTGTTTGCTAAGACGTGGGCTTGGTATTTCTTGGAGCCCAGCTGTGTGCTTCTGAGTTGGATTCTCCTGCATGGCTGTACGTATCTGGCGGAGCACCTTTCCCAACCGCAGTCTTCCTGGACGCTGGGATCAACACCCAAATCGTTCCTCTGAGGGAGGCGTGGAAGTTGGCATCAAGGGCACGGGGCCTTCCTGGTAACAGCCCCCCCGACTGTGGAACCCTCTCCTCCCTGAGGCCTGCCTGGCAGCCCCTGTGCCTAGACATTTAAAAACCTCCAGAGAGATTCAGTGGCTTGAGGAGGGTATCCACGTCAGATGTTTTGACAGGTCTACTCTATTATTTATATCAATTTGTTTTTAGATGTTGCATTTTGGGTGGGAAAAACGTTGTGGTGTTGCCTTGTCTTGTCCCGTTTCATGCATTCTTGCAAGCTGTCCAACGAACTTCCGCTAGCAGGCAGCATAGAAATCCACATTAATGTGGAATCAACTCGACTGCAGTTGTGCCACCACAAACCGAAACCTTTCTGACTCCTGCAGAAAGTGACAAGTCCACAAGCTCCATTCTCCTCAGCCTGGAATCTGTTCAGTCAGAGACCCTCGTCATCCCAGCTGTGAGAGAACTGAAAATCGGAGGGATACGCACGTCCCAGTTCGCATCCAAGAAGGTAAAGAGCAGCGTTTCCACCCACCTGGGTCCCGGGAACCCGTCACTGTACCCTCCGCACTGCACGGGAAGGAGGGTGCTCAGAGCACTTATAAACAGAGACAAGGCGAATTCTGCCCCTGCAGTTCTGTTCTGCTTTTCCCCGCTTCTCATAAACTGTTTTGTGAGCTTAACTGGAGGAGCCACACCCTGAAGGGTGGGTGATGCCCTGGGACATTCCCCCTGAAGCAGGGCCTACCTGGCACAGCAAAACCAGGTCAGTGGGCAGGTGGGACACCTCTGCAGGAGTCCCGTGTGGTCCTCCAGAGTCGACAGACTCCAGACCCTCATCGCCCACTTAAATTGGCCATGTGATGGGCCTTTCATGAAATACTCTGGGAGACGGAGATCTTCCCTGAGAAGCTGTCTCTTTCCGGCTCTTTTTAAAGTCTTCTCTGACTGGGGCTTATGGACGGAAGCAGATCGGGTCTTGTCCCAAAGGTTTTTGCCAACAGCAGTAACCCATCTGCTCATTTCTGCAGAATGTGGAATTCAGCTGGGAAGGCCTGCAGCTTCTCCAGCTCAAAGGATTCACCGTGGACCCCGTGAAAGGAAACGTGGATCGCGGGCAGACCAAAGCCGTCACCGTTTCTTGGGTGCCCCCTGCCGGCTCAGACGTATGTCACAGGTTTTGGAGCGTGCCGTTTTAATATGAGGGGAGCCAGCTGTGGGTGGGGGGCGGGGGCATGGCCAGCGGGTTGAGCTGCCCAGACGGCAAGGCCGGGAGTAAACCTTTGCCTGAGACACTTAAGAGCAGCCACGAGTGAGAGCAGACACATCATGGCTTGGACGGACCATGGGATTTGGCTCTGGAAGGATAAAATCCTGCAGCCCTGAGACATGGTGCTCCAGCCCCGAGAATGGAAGCTCTCACTGCATCTGTCAAAAGAACCATGCAGCCGTCTCTGTGAGGCTGGGGGCTTGTCCTCGGAGAAGGGGGTACTTTGGCGGCTGGGAGGGACAGTGACTGAAGAGGCCGAGATGCCGGTCACCCTGTGGCCCTTCTCCTCTCCTTCCAGCCTGCATGAGATGCCAAAGGCTTGCGAGCACCACGGGCCCATCCCATAAGCAGCTGGGGAGCCAGATAGTGCTGTGGTACCTCTCTGCTTAGAAGCAGCAGGCTGCGGGACTCACCCCGTCACAGCCAGCATCCGCTTCAGAAGAAGGGCGACATTTTCCTTGCCACACCTCCGGCAGCCCCAGTCGCTAGCCTCCGTCTCCAGCCGACGCCGCCTGCATTTAAACCTGTACCTTCGATGCAGCCACGCATTGCCCCTGGGGAGGCTGAACGCAGCAGCAGCACCCCAAAGTGGCCGTCCCGACCCCCCTCCCACCTGCCGCTTCCCCACCCTTTTGCGAAACCCGCCCTCCCATCCTCCTGGCTGTTTTGCTGGGCTCTGGGCCCCCACTGCTTGCTTTCAGGTCGCCACTAGCCGCTGGCTATCAAAGGCCGTGTGTCAGGTAGCCAGCCTCAGCTAGCAGGGTTCTCTCTGCGCAAGAGAAGGCCTTGAGAGAAGCCCGGTTTGCCGTTCCGAAGGCGCACTCCCGACTCCGGCCGCGATCCCATGCTGTGCTTCCCAGGAAGGGCTCCCAGTGAACCAATAATTAAGAGCCCCACGTGGAAGGAGCAAATTATCACATAGGCTCCTCCCTGACGCACTCAGAGGACCGTCACTCGCGGTGGGCGGGCGGGTGGGCTGGCTTTTCGCAAAGGCGGGGCGGGGGCACTTCAGTGTGGCTGTGGAAAGGGCGCAGAGAGTGACATCCACACCCGCATGGTTATACCTCGTGGGCCATCCGAGAGACTTGGCGGGCAGCGGGACCGGCCTCCTCGCTTTCGCCGCCGTGCAGAAAAGCAGCCTGCGCCCCCCTTCCATCTCGTCCCCGCAGCTCAATCAGCCCGTGACGGGCTCAGCCACCCTGGTCGTCAGAGGAGACGTGAAGGAAATTTACAGCGTCTACTGTGTGGGCAGGATCGTGACCAAGGCAGCCCCCGCCGACTCGAAGTGTCCCGTCGCCGCTGCCTCTCCAGACAGATGACGGGGCCGCGTCCTGCCTGCCAGCCGATCGCAGGACCCAACGTGGCGGATCCCGCATCTTTCCCACTCTGCCGAAAGAGGGCTCTCGGCACTGAGCTCTCTCGGCCGTCGCAATTCACTCCCCTGATGACCTTTGTGGCTCCAACCACAGCTCCCCACACATGGTGGAAACCGCCTTTGCAGAAGCTCAGTCCTCTGAAGTTATTCCAGGCCTCTTGCAAACCGATGTCGATCACCCTGAAGGGCCGATAATGGCTGCTTATCTTTGCCGGCTGATCGGCATCCCCGCTGTTGAGCAGCGAGGCCAATCCCCGGGTGATGATTGCACGTCTCGGGTGGAGCTAGAAAAGGCAGTAATTATCCTCTCACCTGCGCTGCCCAGTATGTCGGCACAAATGCTTGTTAGCAAGCCGTTGTTACAATAAACACACGCCCGCTGGAATATTTTGTAATGTGAAGGCTCGGGACGCAACAGGCTTTTCCGTCCACATCAGGGCTGGCCCAAGGAGAACTTTGGCCAAATAAGCACATCCGTGAGTACAGGCGGAGCTTCTGGGGCCGTGTGAGGGATGCCAGGCCTGCGTCATTGAGCTCTTGCCAATGCTTGTGTCCCGGGGCGGCGGGGATGGGGAGGCATCCTCTGCAAATGGGGGTCTTTCACTGTTCCCCCCACGCCACAAAGCCTGCTGCTGCCACAGGGAGAACCCGAGGCATCTCGCCATCACAGAGGTGGCAGGCTGGAGTATTTCCCGTCCGAGGGGCCTGGCTGACGGACATGCTGCCGCCCTCTTCCGCCTTGCAGCCCTTTGAAAAGCGCTGTGTCCCCCGTCAGTCTTCCCCCGTTCCTTCCATCTTCCCCTCGTTTCTAGTCCCCCGACCTTCTCTGCTGCTTTCTCAAACTGCGTTCTGATTTTAACCAGATCCTCCTGAAAGGGTGCTGTCCAGGAGGGGATGCAGCCTTGAAGCGAGGTCACCTCGGAGTTTCGTGCAGTTGGCCGATTTGCCTGCTATGTTGGGTGAATTCCAGAGTGTTGGCAGGCTGTGCTTCTGGAAGCCTGGGCCAGTGTCGTCCGTGGGAGGCCCGCCTGTGGCTTGGCTACCGGTCGCAGGGTTGCACGGACACGGGTTGCTCAGGAGCCGAACCCCACGGTCTGAACCCACGCAGGAGCTGGGCAGGAGAGGGCCGCATGGCCGCGATCCGAGCGTGTCCTTCAGGGAGGACATAGGAGGCTTCCTTAAGCACCTGGTCAGTTGTCAGGGAAGGTACCCAGATGGGGAGCAGGGAGAAGCCTTGGAGAGAGAAAAAACTGTTCTTGCTGTAGCACAAAGAACAGAACCTCAGTATATACGTGGTGGTTGGATCTGCTGATCGCAAATAGCCCTGTAAGAGCAGGACAGTGTCTGATTTATGCTGCTGGAAGCAGGTCTTGGTGAACTGAAGTGGGGGCAGCGGGTTGGGAGGACCTGGGACCTGCAGATCGGTCCCAAGCAGGGCTGGCGAAGTTCCAGCCATCTGGGTGGCGGTGGGCTGAACTCCAGCACCTTTCGTCCCTGGCCACCGGCCATGCTAATAAGAGTGGAATGCAATTTCTTTCCCTTCTTTCCCTCCCCTCCCCTTCCCTCCCCTCCCCTCCTCCACCCAATAGCTGAGGCTTATGGCCACACAGAGAGAGAGAGAAAACACCACTGGGTTCACACAACCGCCCCAACTGCGCATGGGAAGCCATGGCTGGCGTGGGCCACATGGGACTTCGGGAGCAGGGCCCATGGGGTGCCTCGGGTTGCCCTCGCCGTCCATCTGCCGTGAAGGGAAGGACCCAGCTGGAGACTCGGGGGGGGGGGGCACCCCAAGGCCCAAAGGCGATCACGAGCCATTCTAGCATGCTTGTGCAAGGCAAATTTGGGGTGTTCGTCTGCAGGGAGAGCAGCTACTTCAAACTGCCCTTGTTCCACCGTTTTCCCACTCGGTCTCCACGTCAAGCTGCTTTTTCCATCACTGTGGAAAGCGCACAGCTGATTGGAGAAATGTGGCCTGTGGCCTGCCTTGGCTTTCTCCTAAAGTGGATGGGCGACGGCAGGAGGTCCCAGGAGAGCCCAGGGCACACACCCTGCAGAGGAGGGCAAGTTAAAAAAATAGCTGGTTCGCCCCAGAAGTGGGTGATTTGTGCTAACCCTTTGCTAAAATATCCAACTAGGCACCCTATACATTCCAGTGGGAAAAACCTGTGGGAAATTTAGCACTGGAAAAAGGAAAGGTGAAAGGGAACCGGATGCTTACTGGTCCTTCTGGATCCGGTGGGTTAAGCAACTTACGTGGGACTTCAGCGTTTACAGCCCAAAACCTAAAGTAAGCCTTTTAGAGAATTATCATCTGTTCTAATTAGCTTCCACGCACAACAGTTGTTCCCTGGCTGCAACTGTTCTCAGGAATCGCCTCTTCAGCACACAATCCTTGCCTCACACGCAGCTCACAGAGCAAATGCACTGCAGCCACAGCTGCTGCCAGTGCAAGGAACAGCTTTTAAGGAAACAAACATTCTTGAGCCACTGTGGTGTCGAGGTTAAGAGCGTGGGACTGGGACTCAGGCGATCCGGGTTCGAGTCCTCACTCAGCCATGGAGCCAGCTGGGTGACTTTGGGCCAGTCACAGACTCTCAGCCCAACCTACCTCACAGGGTTGTTGTTGGGGGGAGGAAGAGGAGGAGGAGAAGTCAGTTGCCTTGAGCCCTTTGTAGGAAAAAGGCAGGATATAAATCGAAAAATAAATAAACACGGCCCTGTCGCATCCCTGGGCACCAAGCTGTCCTTGTCTTACCTGCATGCTCCAAGCCACCGATCCCACACGTACGAGGTCACTTCCGGCCATGCCTGGTTGCCTAAAAGCGCTCTGTAGGCCGTGCCACACTGCCGTAACCCTAGTGCATGATCTCGGGAAGACCGCAGCCTGTTCTCCTGCTCGGTCGGGTGCACCTGACTCGCACCTGCGTTTATCAGAGCAACAACACCAAGGAGTCGTTTGAAGGAATGACCCGTTCATCTTTAGTTCCAGCTTTTGAAGTTTGCATGACGTGCCATCCAGTCGTCATTGACTTAGGGAGACCCAGTGAATGAACGAACGCCCTCTGAGAGGTCCTTGATGGCCCTGCTCAGCCCTTGTCAACGCAAGGCTTCAGCTTCCTTGGTAGAATCAACCCATCTTTTGTTTGCGCCTCCTCTTGTTCGGCCTTTGAATAGCCTTGTTAAAATCAACCGGACTAACTAGGGATCCAGCTGAGGGTACGTATAAATCTTTCCTGGACCACTGTAGGAATATCAGGCCCCACCTTCTGGATTTGGTTATGGACAGTTTCATCCATACGACTTTTTATCTTTAAAACAGACTCGGACTGGGTAGCCCTTTAAGGAAAGGATGCAGAGGACCGCCCTTGGTAAGCAGGCCACCCTGTAGCAGGCCACTCCAGGTTTACAGTCACAAAGGTGCCCTTGTGGATGTACATAGAGGACTGGTAAGTATTGGGATGAAGAGAACGGAAAATGCATGCGATGCGCTCTGGCCTTTAGGGGAAAGGACTGGTGAGCAGCTTACCTTTTCCTTAAAGTCGCAAATACTCTTAGGCTCTTCTGATTAAAAGGAAGCGTCGGGGAGACTAGTGCTGACTGCCTCAGTGAATGGAAAAAAGATCTCTATCAGCAACGGATGGAATATGACCCCGCTCTTTGCCGGTGTCACAGGGCTGTGAAGAAAGCTGGCTTCTGACCCCACGCAGTGCTGTCTTTAGCTTAATCTTTGCCCCGTAAAGCTCAAGGCTGGAATGTGGCCGACGGGTCGTGTGATGCAAGATACTCGCAAGCCAGAGGATCGTCTCAGCCCCAGATCTTCATTCTTGGCAAATTGGCTAGAAGGCAAACGATCGGCTCATCACTCGGTTGCGTTTACCCATAACTGGAGCTCGCCATCCATTTGAGCATCTGCAGGAGTCTAATAGGGCCTGTCACAGCCCTCTTCCCCAGTGCGATGTCCTCCAGGTATTTGGGACTTCAGTTCCCATCAGCCCCGGCCAGCATGGTCAATGGTCTGAAACCCTGGGAAATGCAGTCCAAAACTTTGCCTCTGATCTCCCCTGGATGAGCTGGCTTTGTGCCCCCGTGTGCTCCCCCCCTTGAATCTTTTTGCCTGTGGCTTTTTCCCGAAGTCAAAGGCTGCCTTCTCCCGTATGAACACAGGCGTCTTTGAGAGATGGGGCCCTTTAAAGGACCTTGGTATGTGTTTCCATGCATGTGTTGTCTGAAGTATAATATCGCATTTTTATGGTTCTGAATCTGTGGAAAGTGCCCAGAAAGCATTGAGCATCGAGCCACAAATAAATACAAGACATGAAAAGAAACGCCAGGTAGCGCTGCAGAATCTGGCTCTTTGTGATGGGAAAAGCCCCGCTTCCGCCTTCGCTTCTTTCTCCCTTGCAAGGGACTGGTCCCTGTGCTCCGATTTTTTTGGCTAGAGGCTGCTCCACATACCTGCTGGGGTTAACCTTTCAAGGGGAAAACAGGTCAGGGCTGTTGTGGCATCAAGCACAGCCCAAAACAGTCTTTCCCATCATGGTGCCTGCCAGATGTTTGAGATTAGACCAGCCTGAATGCCCATGGGAAGCAGGTAGCTCTTCCTTCGGGAGAGATCAGCGGTGCAAAAGCCACCCCCAGCCTAGTTTCAGCACCATGGAGAGCTCCCGTGAACCTCAAAAGAAAAGTTGCAATGGCTAAGGAGCTCCCCTTTACTCAACAATGCCATCTTCTTAACCTGTGTTGGTTTCTTAGGAGCAAAGCAAAGGAGGAGAAGTCATTTGGAGACCCCTAACGGTCTTTGATGCAGCTGAGCACTGGGACCACAGACCCTCCTCTGAAAAGACCCTTCCAGTGTCGTCCTATACACCTCTACCCAGAAGTAAGTCTCATTTTGTTCAGAGGGCTTTGGGATTGCAGCCAAGAGTGGAGATGGGATTGCAGCCAAGTAAACATGGGAGCCCTAATGCACAGGTACCAAAGTGCAACTTCCTTTAATCACTTCTGTGAATAGCTTATTTCAAGTTTTACTTGACTAAGCATGACTCAGTTTGCATTGGTTGTATGTAAACACCTTTGAGCTGAGAGCACACTTGGTTCATGTGTTGAGGCTATTTTGTTTCCGGTATGCTACTGAAAAGAATACTGTGCCCTTACTTTTTCCTCCAAACAGCAGGCAGCGAGTTTCATTTTATTTTAAACTCTTCCAATTCCTTTAAGTATCTTGCTGAGTCACCTTCATGGTGCCTTGGGCAGCACGTCCATGTCATGCTCCTCTTCTCCAAAAAAAAAAAAAGGTCATTTCAAAATGGCAGTCCGTGCTGGCAAGATTAATTTACTTTCGTCGAGGAAACACCAGTGCGCCTTTGTCCAACTTCC